CACACGCGCCACTGTGGAGCGCTGCGTTTGACTCCTAAAAGGCAGGTGTCTCTGTCTTGGCCCAGCAGCGGGAACGTTGCTGTACACTCCTGAAAGGGTGCGGGACATCATTTGGGCCTGTACAGATTTGCACAATGTTGCACTGGTGAATGGAGTGCCATTGGCTGTGCCGGTGCAACGTGAGGACCCGATGCCCGGAGAACAATAACGAGGAGAGACTCCACAAAGGTGCTGTACAGAGGAGACAGGACCTTATCCATGGATTCTGACATGTAAAGTATAAGTTTATAAAGTGCTCTTGCTATTTAATCAGTGATAAAAATCCAATAGAAATCCATAAAAATGTGCCTCAGAGGCAGCAACACACCATTTGGTGATGTTAATAATTATTTTTGTTTAGCCTCTGTCAGACTCTCCAGTCTGCTCTACATTACAAAAACACAACAAATTCAAACTAAATACTTTCAATAATAGGAGCAACGTAGTCTATGTCATGGCAATAAAAAAATATGAGGCATGTATGAGATATTAATTTATCATCATGACCAACTTATTGACTAATGATTTATTCAAACTTCACCCACTGTCCGCTATTCCGCGGCAGCGCTGTTCACTGCCATCATAATCCTGCTCCAGACAGGAGTTTTCTGGACTGCTTTTATACCAGTTTTGATGCTTCCAAAGAGAAAATCCTTGTTACTTTCCACCACAGACGCAAAGATATCCACTTTCAACTCGGAAAAGTTTCTCATCTTTGTAAAATTTCTCCTCTTTAATGTTTGACCTCAGTGGACGAGGCTTCTGAACCACGAATATTTAAGTTCGTAAACATGTTAATGACAATCGATTTCAGCCGCTGCATTTATCAAGACCCGATCATACGTACGCTGGGATTGGTCAGATACGAACCCTTTCATAAATCTCACGTGTGTGCTATCGTACCATGAATCCTGCGCTCAGATCTGTGCTCAGTTCTACGCATGGTTGATAAATGCGGGCCAAGGTCTTTAAATGGACAGAGATTTATTTCAAGAGGAGTTGCATGAGGTAGTTGTCAATAGTAAGTGTTTAGACACAAAAAACCCAGTCAGCCTAACCCCTTCAAAAAAAAAAAAAAAGGTCAGAAAACTGAACTAAAGCAAGCTCAGCTTTCACACATATTAGCTCATTTTAACAATCTCCAACCAATCAAAAGTGCGTATTTCATAAAGTCAGTAGTGTATATTGTTCAGTATGTAATATGCAGTGGAAATATTGTTCTGACTTTCACAACAATAAAACTTATTTGAATTGAACTGAATTCTACATTTTTCAGCCCTTTCATTTTTGCTCTATTGGTGAATGTGGCACATACCGTTTGTTCTGCCTGCAGCACACAGATCAGCAGATCAGATCTACAATGAAACACTGATGCAATATGAATTTTGATCATTTTGCCCTTGAGTATGACATTCTTTTAAGCACCAAATACTTAACACTGGCATTGTTATAATATTTAAACCAGACGTACAGTTTTGTTTGAAGCTCCTTTTAGAGAGAGGTCCGAGAAAACATCCTAACTACAAAAATTTTCTCTGAATTTTATCACCCGGGGCAACTCCTCAGACCAGGAAGCTCTGTAAATACACCCACTGATGTTTTATGAGCTCCTTTTTTAGAAGTCACTTTACCAGACATAAACATGGTGATTAAATCTGAAGACAGTCCCCTGTTCGAGTGAAGCTGTTTACTGCTGAGTCTTAAATATTTGTGTGAATGATTGTCTTTTTTCCAACAAAGAGACCCTTATTTATACCTGACTGATGAAGCTAATGGATTCAGATGGGGGTTTCTTTCTTGAAAAGAGGTCTCAAAACATTTTGTTTTTGTCCAACATGCTGAACTTCAATACACAGCAGACATACAACAAAATTCAAACCAGACTCTGAAGGTTTTACAGCATCCTCAAAACCACAAGCAGACCCCACCTCTCTCCTGACACAGACAATAACCCCACCTGCAAACTCAAAGCCTTCACAGCCCCAACCAGCTGCATTGTGAAACCATGTGAATCCCAGAGATGACCCACCTGCACACTACAGAGGAAGATGTCATAAAAAAGTTGAGGTGAAAGCAAAAAGAGGAGTGATGGTGAATGGGTTAGAGAAAAGGATTAAACGTTCAAGTGAAAGGTCAATGCAAATGTTGTGTCGACATAATGGAACATCCTGTCCTTTGCTGAGCGGGGTCCTCGCTGTTCAAACAACTTTTAACAGTCAACGGATGAATCAAAAGGGAGATGGTAAAATGCTGCTTCCCCCTCTTAAAGCCTGTGTTCACAAGCTTGTGAATGAGCACTGTGTCTACACACAAATGCTGTTTCATGTTAATCCTTGTTGTTTTTATTGTCACTACATTTTTGTGGGCAGGAAGTGAGTTCAGGGAAGGGGGGAAAGTGAAAATATGACAAGGAGCATGGAGTGACAGGCTACATTTTTATGAATCATGTAAAAGGCAGGGCCATGAAAGAGTCATTTCACATGCTGCTTTCTTTGTAAGAGCCCAAGCTTTTATGAAATGTCATGTTTTGGCTCACACCTTGAGTCCACAGGTGAAGGTCATGGCTCGTGGGTTTGGATAAAAAGAGGGGAAGTTTTTATTACCAAGTGTGGAGAGATGGAGATGTTGAAACTTAATGGATAAAATTTTGAATTATACACCTTGTAAAACCAGATTTTACATTTGTTGACCAGGAAATGGAAATTTCAACAGCCCTTCACGGCTTGGAAAAGTAATGCAGCCTTGAAGCACATTCAAATTTAACTGATTGAAATCACACACAGTGGGTGTTTTATCTCTGTAGTACCCTGGATTCCAACTGTACAGTACATTACTTTTTCAATCTCTAACACCATGAGGTCATTAAAGCCCATTTCCTCCAGCTAGGCAGCACAAAGAGGAGTAAAACTCAGTCAAGGATGGCTGCCAATCCTGTGGGTTTGAGCCATCAAGTGCTGACAGGAGCCTGGCTTACATTTTGACAGAGGACAGGAAATACACTCACGACTCAGTCAAAATCAACTTAGGAGCAGTGGATCTTGTCTGAAGATCGTCCCAAACAACTGTTGGCCTGTATTTACATAAACTCTCTATTGTAGCCAAAGTACAAAAAGGTTCAATGAAGTAATCAATTAAAGGACTCAACATGAATTTTAATGAACTGCAACCTGATTTACAAAAACAAAATAAAAACAAAAAAACACTATGCCACAATTCTGTTTTTTCCTGTCTTACATAAAGCTGCCATCTACCATTGACTGTTAAATGGCTGAAAAATTATGAGTACCTGAAGGCACTGTGTCCATGGTTGTTTTCCTATCTTGTACTTTTTGAATATGCAAAACAGTGTTCCACAGGGGTCCTTAGTCGCTCCTTTTTATTAGTTATATCAATAATCTACATGAAATTTTTCAAATTTTTATTTAAATGATACATCAGTCTATTTCGCTTTCTTCTAGTGCAAATAACTACAAGCTATATTGGTGTATTGGTCGCACCTGTTTTTAGGTCACAGCTGCTTTTTAGACAAAAAAAAAAAAAAGACTGAAAAGTGTGACTTGTACATAATAAACAAATTTTATGTTGTACGTTCACTTGTGATATTCAGTGGCATTTATTTTAACTGCTTTAAACATACTTAGGAAATATATGTCACTGATTGTGCTACACTAGCAGCCAAATTAGCTTTAATGATATTCAATGTTTGATTAAAAAAAAAAATTGTATTTGCCTGTTTGCCAAGCAGCAGTGTTGTAGTACTTGAGTCCAGGACTCACGACTTGACTTGGACTTCAACAACAATGACTCTGATACAAACTTGGACTCAAGCATTGATGGCTAGAGCATGAGCATGTTTGAAAGTGTGTTTGATTTCATGAGACATTTTGTTGTTCCATGACCTGTCGTCTTGCACCATCCCCAGGCTGATTTGTTTATTGGAAGATTTGCTCAGCAAATCTTGTTGTGTTCTCCTCTCCTCTAACCCTCTCTATGCTGGGCTACTTCCCTCCATCTTTTCTATGCAGCCAGATAAGTAGGGGAAGCATGAGAACAAACTGACTCCAAAAGACTCTTTGTCCTCTGGCATCAGAAAACACGCTCATACTCTTTCCTCCCTTTGTCTGTCTCCTTCGCTCATACACCCAGCATGAGCATGAGTCTTTCCCTGTCTTCAGCTTGTTCAACAATGCTCCAGCTCTGTGCCCCGGCCCACACACCAGAATACCACAGCAGGATGCCCTGAACTTCTCTGTCCCTCTGTCTCACGCCTTCTTCTGTCTCTTCAGCTTCCTCATCAACAATGTCACTCACTTTTTCTCCTTCTCCCAATCTCCATCTCTCAAATTGGTGACCTCACCCAACACCCACAATTACAGTGACTTCATCGGGCAGCAGCTGCAGTCAAGGCCACAGAACCAAGTGTTGGTGGAAGGGACAATTAAAACCGCTGCTGTGTGGCTGGACTCTGAAGAGGCTGCTGACAGGAAACTTCTGGAAGACATCAGCAGACTTAGTATATCATCGACCACTTGATCTTTGGAGATCTGACTCTGAGAATTTCATTTGTCACCAGTATCAAGTGAAGCAATGCCCGCTTCTGTTGTCTGAGAAATTAAAGTGGTGGGACAGTTCAAGGCCGCAATCAGGCTATCAGGTCTCAAGAAGGCCACCAACAAACTGAAAAACCATGGCACCCTCTCACTGAACCTTGTTTCTTATCGCCACATTTTATACTTTAAACAAGAGAAGTAGGACAAGGATAGACTATTTTCCCATGGCCGACAACTTCTTGTGACTTTATGTAGTGGTCGGTTTCTTCAGCTGCTGAGCTGAAACACAGCCCCCACACCAGTTTTAGGCATGAAAAAATACATTCTACAAATCCTCAGTCTTGTTGTCTTTTATCATAAAAAGGCATCAGCATTAATTTAAGTGTAATTCATGGACCTCAAAAAACTCCATACGGGAGCTTTAATAGCAGTAAGTAAAGTTTATTTATGAAGCGCGTTTCACCGATAAAAATCACAAAGCACTGCACATAAAATAAGTGCAATTAGATAAACATAAAATAATTGAATTTAAAGTACATATACATACACAAATAAGAATACAGTACAGATGAATATAGCCCATCAGCTACCATCAGAACACAGTTAGCATTAGCATTCAGCCTCTTCCAAGTTAACATGTTGAAAATCTCATATACAATTGAGGAAGAGAAATGTTTGCACAAGAATGTTACTTAATACATGAATACCAGTGTTTGTGCATGTGTCCATTTTTACATCACAGGGTAATGTCAGAGCCTGGTGCAGCCATTTTTGGCCATTCTTTATTTTACCTCTGTGGCGCTGTGGAGCGCACCAAAGCACATTTAAGATGCCCACTAATTACTTCAGGTGTTGCACACAAGAAGCCTTTTGTTTTGTGATCGCAGGCTGGCAGTTGGAATTTGTGTTGAATTTATTGGTTAATTGTGAAAAAAGAATAAAAGGATTGGCATATCCAAATCAAGCTTTTTGCCTACACAACTTTATTGTTTTAGCTGGAGCAAGCAAATAGACACTTAGTGGACAAACAAAACCTAGCCGAGGCCGTGAGTGCATAACACATGTGTCAACAGAGCCCCTGTGAGTTTTTTTATGTTTCTGGTCTGGAAATCATGTTGATCCCCTTAAATGATTTACGAAAGCAATCAAGACCATTATTAACAAGACGGATGCTTTTTAATTTGTCATTTTTAAGGCCTGAAATGAATGCAAGAGGTTAAGTGCTGGCTGAGCAGCTGAAGAAATAGCTTCCTTTTGCAATTTCCACATAAATTATTCACGATAAATGACAAATTTGACCATCAGAAGTTAGCAGGATGAGATTTTTCGTCAGATGATATTACTTAAGTATGGAGAGAACAAAATGAGCAAAGACTGCTCTGTTCACAGGGGGCACCAAAATTGACACAAAGAATGGCACAGGCAGCTGTTGATGTCTCAGTTAAATGAGTGACCCTGCAAACTGGGGACTTTCAGCCTGTTACTATGACAACCACTTGAGCAAAAGACTGAAAGTCACTAGAATACAGGGCCACTCCTTCGACTGTCACACCTGTGGTCTTACTCTCACTGTTATAAGTCTCAATCGGGAGGTAGGAAGAGAACTTTCACTTGTGCACCAGCAGCTTCCTTTAAATGATTTACGATTAGTAAACGAAGTTTCAGAAAAAAACCTGCCTGATGAGAGGAAATAAACTGAGGTTAAGTCAATCCTGCCTGTAACTTTTGAGAGTAACCGACTTGGCTGAAGGGTTACTCGGGATATTTGTTTGGGCAGCTCAGTAAAGACGACTGTCATGGGCCGCAGTAAGACTGCAGATGAAGTTTCAGGTGGTTTGGATAGTTTACAGCTCAGCAGTGGGTTTATGTTACCACAGAACCTCAGGTGTCGGTTTAAAAAATATGTCTGTTGAAGGAACATTTGACAATTTGAGCTCTGGGTCTTTTTTGTGTTTCATAGTTGTTGTTGTTTTGGAAAGACTGAAAAATGATATACAAACCATTATGGTGAAACTTGCAGAAAACACAGCTGATTATTGCAATATGCAGTTGATCCTCAACACTTACATCAATGTTTAAATGTTTTTTTTTTCTGCATGGAACTTTAAGCCAGTATGGTAAAACCTTTCAAAGCATTGACAGTTCTAGCGGGGAAAAACAACAGCCAGACACTGCCATCTGCTGGACATTGTGCCAATTGCAGCCACACTGTATGCCATTTTAGTCAGCCTACAGTGGTACATTTAAAAATACAGTAAGACCTCTGGAAGGTAAAATATTGCTCATACAACAAACAGGAGTGGCAGTAAAAGTTGTGGGGCTCTTTTGAATATAGAAGAGAGGAAACAAAACACATTAAAATCCACATTTTAATGCAGATGTATAAAATTCACTTTATTTCATGTTTTGATTTGGAAATTTATTTAACAAAATATAACACACTATAACATGAGTAACATAGAAAGTGGGTTTTTGTCTTAAAAAGGCAGTGGCGGGTTCAAAGTAGTCCCCTGCTGTGATAATAAACAGATTTATCGTCTTTGATAAGGGTGTTCACCAGGAGCAGGAGTCCTTCAGCAAACTTTGATTACTTTTTGATTTTGAACTGTTTGTGCATTTGGTGTGTGTGTGCGTGTGTGTGTGCTCAGACGTGTTGGTGCAGCCACAGCACTGTGTTAAGGAAGCAGTCGGCCTGTGTGTCCACTCTGGACAGAGAGTGTCCATCCTCTGGAAACCACAACAATCTAAACAGACAAATAAAAAGAGAGAGAGTCTAAATAATCACACTCATCACTGTCAGTGTGAAAATAACTGAATGTCCTGAATTTAACCTGCTGTAGTTTTTTGTTACATCAGACCAGGAAGACATGGTTCAGTCTGTATTCTACCTGACAGGTGACTCTCTGCTCTTCAGGACTTTGTAAAGCTCCAGACCCTGGTGAGGAGACACTCGTCGGTCTTTGCCCCCCAGCATCAGCAGCACAGGAGCCTTGACCTACAAACAAAAGCAGTAACACAAATGTAAAAAACAAATGGTTGATTTCAGTTTCTTCCTGTTTTTTAAGTTCAGTCCTGGTTCCCTCAAACAAAGTGATTCATTTCAACGCATGCAACTAGAGAAAAAATGGAAAAGCAGTTAAATCAATCAGCCTGATCATAGAAGATGGTCAGATTGATTCTGCTTTTTAATGTAGCCATTGTTTTTGCTAAATAAATGGTATAAGCTACACTAGAAAAATATAAAGCTCATAAAATGTTTGAAAACTCATGCCAGCTTCAATGTAGCCCCTTCACATGCTGATAGATAGAGCAGATTTTCTCACACACCAGAAAGTAAAGGTTTGATTTCCTTGAAAATGTGCTGTGATTTTCCTCGGGCCTGTCTGTATGCAACCTAACTCAGCTCAAAAGCCATGACATAACATCTGCTTATCCAGTCACTTGCAGTTGAAGGCATTTTTGGAAGAATGTTTAATTTACACGACTTCTATTTCTTACCTTCTATTACCTGCCAAAAAATACAATAGGAGCGACTTCTAGCAAAACTACAAAAATGGCAAAATCATATCAACAATTTAAGTTGTTAAAGTTTGGGTTGTGTTTAGGCTCCAGAGACTACCAAAAGATGAAGTTTAAGGTTTTAGTTCAACTTTACACATTGCAGAACAGAAATGACATGTGCAGATTATAATAAAAGACTGGATTGTAAGTCTTTGTGTGTCTGACCTGAGCAGCGTGAGTGATGGGGGACTTCTCCAACATGGAAGCCAGTGCTTCAGCAGTGGGTATCTGGTCATATGAGTAATGGAAGCCCACGCTGCTGTAACGCCTGCAGAAACAGATGGGAATATTCAGTTTTTGTACCAGTCAGGATGCGCTGCTGCATGTAAAGCTGTGAGTTCTTGAGTGACTGCTCATGTCAGTTAATCAATTAATTTTTATTTATACAGCGTCAATTCACAAGTGTTAATCCGAAATGTTTAACAGTTGACTGGTCTAGACCAGACATCTGCTGCTACTGCACTGGGTTTAGAGAGGGGATAGAGGGAGGTGCAGAAAGAGATGGACCGAGGTCAGATTGATGCATGTGGATGAAGCAGCTGGAAAGCAGGCAGGTCCACGTCGGCATGATGTCTGCAGCAGTGATCCAGAGGAACCTCTGACATGAGTGAGCTCAGGGACTTCCAGAAAAGACTGAGTATTAGCAGCTTCAACATGTCTCACCAGTCCACTATGTCACTGGTTCCCAGCAAAGTGGCAGCGTTGATGACAGGATTCCTGGCCACACATGCTTTGTAGAAGTCTGGGTACTGACCAACCAGATGACAGGACAGGAAGCCCCCATGAGAACCACCAATCACAGCCAAGCGTTTTGGGTCAAGGGTCATATCTGACCGAAGGGCAGCGAGCACAGCCGTCTGTGTACAGATCAAAGACTCTATAAAAAAACAGACAGCACAACAGCTCCCCTCAAGTGAAGACAAAACTTTTAGAGCTCTCCCCAGTGGCTGGCTGCACCATAAAGCTATAAAGGCCGCCTCTCTCTCAAAACAAAAGATGTTATCATCAACCAATCTAGACATTTATCAGCTAGTACCTGCACGTCTTTTACATCCTGGCTTCCAATCTGCCCAATCAGTGACAAAATGCTGTCCTGACCAAACCCTGTGGATCCTCTGTAGTTCACTAGAGAGAGACACATATGAATGGAAAGAAAATGATGTTTTTGGTAATGGCAAGTGATGAAGAGAAAAGCAAACCCAAAAAAGCTTGAATCACAGGAACAACATCAGGAAATATGCCTGTTTCAGGGCATGAATACTAGAAAATGAAATCCTTACCCATATCTGTGTTTGCTGAACTTAGGGCAAAAACTGTACTTCCAACAGTTAAGTCTTGACATAATTATAGTCTTTATTATGGGGGAAAAAACACTTCTGAATTTGTCCTCAAATCTACAGAGCGTGAAGTTTTAAGTATCTAAATGATCCACTGGTAGTCGATGTTTCATTCATAGGTATACATTAAAAGAAAGCACTAATAGCTTATCATGCATGCTGCAGCCACATACTATGAGGTGAAGAAATGATGGATTTTGTAAATTAAGCTATTGGTCACCAAGGAGAACTTTAGACCAGTTATAGCTTATAAGAAGACAGAAAAAATTACCCAAAAAATGACCAGATTGATGCTCTAGAAATAAAATCTGTTATTTTTAAAACCATCAAACCTCCCCAAGTGGAAATTAAAGTGGTCCACAGTTCGTCCAAGCTTAGCTCATGTTTAACCTGCGCTTAAGCCAAAGCTGAGCAAACTAGGAGCTTATTTTAGTTTGATATTACATATAATGTCATAGTTCATATTTAAAGCCACTGTAAGGACTTTCAAACTGGTTGAGAAACAGAGCAAAACTCTTACTGATGTCTCTTTATGAACATGAAAAGTGAACAAGTGAACAAAGACCATCATCAAAAATTCTGATGATTTTTCTGCTGTCATTTTTAATGCTGTTTAACAAAATGACTGTAAAAGGCTGAAAAAAATTGATTTTTTTGTTTTTATATACAGGTATTACTCACAGTGAGAAATACATTTTATTGTTACAAGATTACAGGAGGAGGTTTTTGTCTGAAAATAGTGCTTTCACAGGTACTGGACAAAAGGTATCGCTCTGTCTGCAGGAGGTGCTGATATTAAAACAAACCAAATGTTCCTAACAGCAGCTTTGATATAATGAAACAGTCATTTTCTTTCAAAATCCAACTTAAAAAAAAACCATCACTTTACCTGCAATGGTTAACTAATTCAGAGGTTTCTCACCCATGAGCACGGCAAAACCCAGTTTTGTCAGCCCGGCTGCGGTGCAGTTCCACCCTGCTGGGAACTGTGAGTGAGGGCCACCTGGAAAACACACAAGCAAAAACTAAAACCATGATATTACCTTTAAAGTGTATCAATCCAGCGAAAAGAAACACAACAGCTGAGTAAATAAAGTAATAAAGAGTTCAACATTACCGTGGATGAAGATAACTAGAGGAGTCTTGGCTTCAGAGTGAGAATAAGTGGGTTTAACCAGGACAGCACCAAAGTCTAAACCAGCTGATAAGAGAGAAAGAGATGTGATCGTTACTATGTTTTTATTCTGCCATTTCCTCCTACATTACAAAGTAATGGCTTCCTCAGAAACAGTGGAGCACAGTGGGTTGAAACACCTCCCAGAATCCTTGTCAAAAACTGTGTCAAGATTATTCTCTTTGTAAGATTTGACTGATCACTTTTAAAGCTTGTGTGGGTCTTGCCCTGAGATACATTATAGAAATGCTGACTCCATATGAGCTGTCCTGCAGTCTGAGATCCTCAGGTGGCTCAGGAGGAGATCAAGCTCTTTTCATCAGAGCCGCTCAACTCTGGAAAGACCCCCAGAGGAAATATGGCATGCAGAATCAGAGATGTCTTTGAAATCACTTCTGATAAAAGATAATTGGCCAAATGGGGAATGTCAACCCTGGTAATTGGCCAAGATCAATAATCAAACTACCCCTATATTCAGTATCCATCAACCGAAAAAAAAAGTCAACTGTTCAGCTGATCGTAGATTTGAGAGGATACTGCCCAGCACAAGTCACTGATTGTGTGTTTGTGTGTGTGTGTGTGTGTGTGTGTGTGTGTGTGTGTGACTGTGTGACTGTGTGCTTACAGTAGTGTCTGTTGTCCTCCTCTGGTGGAGGTCTAATATCCAGATATCTCCAGTGGAAGTCAAAGGTCATTATCGGCCTCTGCAGAGTGTGCCAGGTCACAGCCTCCCCAGTCCTGGGGAGGAAACCCACCCTCTGAAAACACACACATGATAATGGACAATGTTCGTGTCACCAAAAAGAAAAAAAAAACACATGCAAATCCTTTTAAATCTAACAAATCCTTTGAATGGTGCAGTCTGTAGAGTGAAAATGTGTTTTGTCTGACCAGGGTGGGAGGCGTGTTGGGGCTGGAGCAGCAGACCACTATCAGGTCCTTCTGGACTGTCAGAAGTTTCCAGCTGCCATAGACTTCAGAAAGATCTGCAAAGGAGAGGAGGCAACCAGAGAAATGTTGGAGAAAAAAGAGGAACAAAAGAGGAGCGATGAAAGAGAGATGGGCTGCAGTCGAGGCATAATAAAGTGTTAACAGATGTTGAGATGGTGCGGTGAAGTTTATGACGGGATTTCAACCTGCATGGCTGAATTGTACAGATAATGATCATATTGATTTGACTCTGTTAGAGTTAACAAAGCAAATACTTGGTTAACTGTATTTGTGCCCTCTTTGATGCTGACTGTATGCTCATGTGTTTCTGCGTCTTTTCTCCGTTTTAAAGTTAAAAAATATTTGAAGTATATTTCTTTAGCCTGTTGTTCCTGCCATACCTTCCTGGTCTTTCTGGTAGTCTTGATGATGAAGATGTGGAGGGGGAGGAGGAGGAGGAAGAGAAGGGAGAAAATGAGGGTCTAGTGGAGGAAGACGAGAAGGAGGATTAGGAATAGGAGTAGGAGGAGGAGGAGGTGGAAGGTGAGGAAGTTGAGTGTCAGGGAGAGGAACTGTGACTACGAGAACAGAAGAAGGGGGAGGAGGAGGAAGAAGTGGGGAGACGGAAGGCAGGGAAAGGTGAGAGTCAAAGGAAGAGGGAGGAGCTAGTAAAGTAGAAAGGGGAGAAGGGGGAGGAGGGAGAGCAGGAGAAAGAGGATTGGGAAAAACAAGAGATGACAGAGAAATAGAAGAGGGAGAGGGTGGAGGGGGGAAAGGGAGAGATGGAGATGGGACCATGAGAGAGATGGGAGGAGGAGGTGGAGGAGGAAGAGGAGGAGAGGATGGACTCTTACTATCAGAGAGGGAGGTAACTTTGTTTGAGCTTCTGTCCACTATAAAGAGATCCTGAAAGAAACACAGAGAGGGAGGGAGTCAGTGAGTATATATATGAAAATATGATAAATGAAAAAAATAATATATGAGAAATTATGACAAGCATGTGAAAGATAACTGACTTTACATTGGGCTGCTTTCTTTCAGACTAAACCAGATCCCCCACCCTCTTAAAAGCTTTTGTTTTGGAACTCCTTCACTTTTTCTTCACATCCTCTTTATGATGTTATGTGCCTATTTGTGACAATATCAGTTTAAAGTAATTACAGTTTTTTTTCTTCTTTTTTTTGTAGCATCTATTTTTGGGTCCCCAAAGTAGACAAACAAAATCCCTGTTCAGGTCTCCCAAAGAGAAGGAAATGTCTGCATAATCAGCATCAGACTCTCTTCATATTCTCTACTCTTACTAAACATTAAATTTAGCGTGTGGTTTTTTCTCTGAGCCAGGCCAGCATCAAACCCTGGAGGCCCACTCAAGGCTTTTAATCTCCATATACAGGGTATGCATGTGGATTGCGAAGCCAGTGGCGTCCCTTTCGTAAAAGAAAAAAAATATTGGTTATTGCATTCATTTTGGACTTCTGCATGTGTTCATAAATTTGAGGCACTTCACATTTCTCACAACAAAAATTTGGTCAGCTTGATGCAGATCCCCTGACCTAGACAGCCACTGTTTTTTTCTACTGCTCTGAGGACACACTATTTCACAGTTGTGCCTCACAGTGAATCCTTTTAAACTGTGTTTCAACCTTATGCATATACCTTATAATCTCAGTAATTTAAAGATCTGGTTGGGGGGTGCCAATGGCCCAGCAGTCTAGGCGCCACATGCACATGGACTATTTTATGCCAAGAGGATTTGTGCACTTCCTTTGTAGGGAGCAGAGGGCTATTTTAGGACCAATTACTGACCTGTGCAGCATGTTTTAATGATATGCTACCACTCTCTTAATAACTGTGAAACTTTGAAGCAGAAAGTGTACTTAGAGGTCTGCATACTCTGATTTACGCATCAAAACATCAAAATCCTAGCAAATAACACCAGTGACAGCTTTTGCCAGGTACCTAAGAGAAATACTTGAAATAGTGACTGTTTGTTTTGCTGAATGTCTGCTTTACCTTTGTAGGGTGCAAATGGGCCACAATCCTGACTCTAAACTGTTCTCTAATATTGCTAATAAGTGCTCGAAGTCCCTGAGTTGATCATTTAAGTATCTGAAGCTCTGGTCACAAAAAAGCACCCAGCAGCTCCTCTGAGCTCACTGACCAACACAAGCTGTGATCCTAGCATTTCTCATAAAATGACCTCTCCATGCTGAGTTATGATTGCAAAATATTCTCTAAATACTGTGTTCTGTTTTACCTTCCAGTTTCGGCAGGCACTACTGAACACCACTCTCCGACTGTCTGAAGACCAGCAGCAGGGCACCAGAGTCTCATAAATACCTGCAAACTCACCTGAAACATGCACACAGGAAGAGAGAAAGCTTAATACCTCATCTAACCCCCGACAGTAAGTCAATGTAGAAACTAGGCTTTGAACATTAGAACAAGTGGTGAATAAAAAGAGTAACTCTGGATAAAAGTTTGGATAGAATTTCTAGAAATTTGAGGTTGGCTTTGTCAAACAGAGAAAAGTCTTGTCGGAGTACCTCATCCTCTAAAACTGATGTATATGTTTCATGTTATAGCTACAAATTAAGATAGATTTTAGGGGACTGCATGCTAGGAGCAACACAGAAGTGTGTAATGTTTAAGTTGAAAGTTGGAATACAGCCTGGTTTTCTGATTATTGAGCATTAGGTTTATTTCTCTGATACTGCTTTTTAAGAACATGTAAAACCAACTGAGTGCAGGTTAACCTGCATGTACAAAAGTTCTCATTTCCAGGTGTTCAGCGGTCACCTTGCTATTGTGGCTCAAGCTAATAGACTCACCCTGCAGCGGTCTATTGACAACATCCAACAGCGTGGAGGTTTTCCCACTCTTCAAGTCCAGCTGTGGAGAAGAAACAGTCACTATCAGCAGAAAAAAAAAAAAATAGATATGCACGTGCAAACACACAAACACAATCAGTACCTGCTGCAAGCTGAGGCACTGGTTGTGAGGGCCAAACACTCGACCCTGCAGGTAGATCAGTGTGGACCTGTCTGGACTCAACCTGGGACAGGAAACTGACAGGTTGTCCCCAGATATACACTCTGGAGTAAAAGACGGATAAAAAGGGACTGTATCAGCAAAGTGCAGCATGTGTGAGTGTTCGGTTCATCAACTGAAAGAAGAAAAAAAAGTGCTTACTGCAGTTTCCATCCAGGTGAAGCTTGAATAATGCTGACCTGAAATAGAGTTTGGACAGAAATATACACTGAATAGATGGACACAATCAATAAATAGACACATGAAACTTGATTCAAGTTTCTTTTTATTTCTGTTCAGTGCCCTGCTGTTAAAAATGTCCCTCCAGTTTCAATACGGTATGAATACAGATCCAAGGCAAGCCCAGTGTAAAAGGTGTAGGGATAAGATGAAGACAATATACAGTAGGTGCATGTTCATGAATGAAGAGTAACCCAAAATCGATCAGAGTTATCAGAATTTCTGAAACCTCTGAATTATACAGACAGATGTTTTGTGAAGCAGCTCGGAGCAGAAAACTCAGATGCCTCCTTTAGAGAGGGTCATGTGATTTTCAGCTGCATCTGCTACATTTCTCATATCTTTGCATGGGGCTGTCTTTCATGCAAAGGTAGAAAACACAGCGACCATCTCACCTGCGGTTGGAGCAGAACTTCAGTCCCAGTCTGAAAGGCTTGTGGTACCAGCCGACGAAAATCACAGACTGACTATCAGGAGCCCACAGAGCCTGGTAAACAAACACACACAAGACAACACATCCAGAATCATCAGTGGTACCGGAGATTAACATTCATGTTTACTGCGATAGTAATAGCCAAGATTTTAATCACACCAATTTTAGACTGGGGGATGAGTGATTGTCAGTCTGTATCAGTGTTTTCTTTTACTGATCATTGATCGAAAGAAGTTGACTAAAGATTGTGTTATTATGGCTCTGCTGATGATGATGCGTCTTCCCTCTGGGTCTGGTTTCACTCAGCACTCTGTCTCATGTTGTTGTTTCTTGTGACAGTATAGAGATGAGAACAATCCATAGATTGTGTGGAACAATCACTGTAATAGAAAGAAGACTTAACAGGACTGTATCTTTGGTCACCAGGACAAACCTTATTTCATTTGACCTCAGTAGATGACATAGTTAAAAGCTACAGTAACCTTTCATGGTAACATAAATTATACTGACTTTATTCACATCAGTGGGATTTTGCAAGCAAAACTGAGAGATGTTTTTTGTTGTTGTTTTTTTTTTTTTCCTGAAATGTAAAATCCTTAGCACATGTAATAACAGGTAACTTCTGTATGTGATGTCGAAAGTTTTGACTGAACATTTGCTAGAAGAACTTAAATCAAATTTTGAGTTGGACTTGCACATTTTAATTCATAACAGAAAGAGTTTTGTTTTTTACTTTAAAAGTACATTGGTTGAAAATATTGGTTAATAGCCATCTGAAAAAAACAACAACTCCTAATCTATGCCTTGAGGTTAAATTTCTGTCTTTTCTTTTGGAGGTCTTTTTGACTAAAATGATTTTTTCCTTGCAGAATATAGGAGTCACTGGTCCAATAAATTACTGTGCTACTTTGGCATTTAAATGTTTAAGTGCTGATTCAGAACAATACTTGTGGATCACATGATAATGCAGAGAAATATTGCTGATGGAGGCAACTGCAATCAAGCAACTCCAGGGTTCTGAGAAGTGAAATTCATTGTACTGTTAATGCAGTATTGAAGAAGGTAGTTTGGTTAGATAAGAAGGATCCCATGCCTTCTATATGGATCATATTCATATCAAATTTCCCCTCAGTGATGAATACAGTTCTTCTTATCTTATTTCTTTAATGCTTCAATCAATCAATCAATCAATCAAACAAACAATCAAGACATAGAATGGGAATATGAGACGATTTTTAAGCTCGAGAAGGACCTTTTGACACAGAACCACACCTAGACACTGAATTTATTTCAACTATCCTACTAAATCACACTGACATGACTAATGCTCTGTCAGAAAAGTTTAAAGTGCTCTGCCCTCACCTGTCCGGGTGAGACATCAGGGGGAATACCGTGCAGCACGCTCAGAGAGCCACTCTGCAGATTCACCACACAAATCACAGGAACGCTCTTATCGGTCAGACCCTCGCCCCAGTCTTCACTGTACACTCTCCTATCCTGTTTAGATGGACAAGCAAAATTAAACATCAGCTATATTACCATTTTAGTGTAAAGTTAATCACATCAGAAGAAAAGCAAGTGCTCAGGTTAACATGTTTACAGTATCAATAAAATTGTATATTCTTGTACCCCTCAGTTGTGTGTAAGTGTGTGACTTACCTGTATTTCCCCTGAGGTGCTTCTGCTCTTCTCAGCTACATACAAGAGTTTGTTCTCACAGTCTGACCATGACAGGCAGCCCAAATGTGCTGGAAACACACCAGTAGGAGTTTCAACACACACTCAAAAATACCAAGAGACACCTAAAAACAGAAAAAGCCCTACCATCATCATAGACTCGCCCATGTTTGTTAAGAGCAGTCAGGTTGAGGCATTTCCTGAGGCCATGCTGGTCCCATATCTGAGCAGAAACAACGAGATGAAGAAAGCTTCAATGCTGATATTACAAAGAATGTCGCAGTCTGTGACTTTTACCTCGAGGAGCTGGTGGCCTGCTGTTTCCCTTATGACAGCCCTCAGGCATCGATTGGGAGAGAGTCCACTCAGAAGCCTGAAGAGAAATAAAGGCTCTGTGTTTCATTAATATTTAATTACAGCTGTAAAACTGCAGTGATTCACCCCTCTGTGCGGTTTAGGGTTCATCAGTTTAATAGACAAGTGACATCCTCAACATCACTGCAGTAAGATGGGAAGTTAAAGTTAAGGCAAAATGGCAAAAACAAAGTTCAGATATATAAGGAACTCATTAAACCATTCGAAGTGTTCTGTGAGTGTATACTCACTCTCCAGACACAGGCACACATGGTCCAGGTGGGAGGACAGTCCTGATGCTCTTGTGGTCATTATTGTTTGAGATGAGAGTCCAACGCTGTGTGTAGGTCAGTCTGGAGCCTCGGACTAGGTCGCTCTGACTCCACTCTAGATGAGTTTGGTTTATTTTGTTAAATAAAGAGAAGACTGGCTATTTCAGTGATCCATATATGTAAAAGAAGAAATGTCTAAAACACTGTCAGAAATGCAGGTTTTAGCCTGAGTTTTAATCCCTGCTAATGATCCTCATGTTTCATTATAAAACATCTCACCTTTACTATTTGTTTGTTGTACAAATTCTATGAATTCAAGGTTACTCCAACAACGTTTTGTGTAACTTTTGTCACATAACAGCCTTTCAAACAGCAGCTTTTGTTGAATCAGCAGAAGCAAATGTCCTTCCTCGAACCTGCAATCCAATTTGCTGCACAATAAACAACTGTCAGCCAGGCTGGGAGTATTCCAGATAACCAGATGGGTTAACTCTCTTAACCTTTTTAAACCCTTTAGATCTCTGACCGGCAGCTTCACAGGAAACCCAAACAAATTCTGAATCTGGTAGTCATTCCCAGAGGGTGATTTCTAATTACATTCTGACCTCTCATTAACAACAACAGTGAGTCTTCATTTAAGTGGTCCAATGCAAAATGTAAACACATTTGCACTGATAATCCTGTGTTTATTGTGAAGACTCCTGACCTTCAGATACTAAAGTACTTGCATTTACTTACCTTTTTTTTTTTTTTTTTTTTTTACTGTCCTCTTGAGCTAATTGTTGAAAATACAGACACAAACGCATTGAACATACCCCCTTTGGCCTCCCCTTTTTTGGTATAACACAGGGAAGAGGCTAACAATGGCACGTACAGTATGTCTTGCTTAGTCCTTGTATTTCAACATTTTAATGTTAGGCTATGCAGCTGTCCTTGCTGATTCTTGTTTTAACATTGTCTGCTGAACAAAGGTGAACCACTTTGTCTGATTTTCGATTTAAAGTACAGACACTGTGTAGTTACATAGAAAATAAAACAAACAGCAATGGCAGCAATAGAGGACAGCGCTATTCTACCAACAGACTGGTGTGATATATCTGCTGTTATACAAAGCTTTTTAAATCATTACATTAAAATGTCTAATGTGTAATTTCTTCTTGCTTTAACATAAATAATGGAAGAACATAAAAAATGACAATAATGACCCTTCATAAAGAGAGAGAGAGAGAGAGAGAGAGAGAGAGAGAGAGAGAGAGAGAGAGAGAGGGGGAGGGGGAGGGGGAGGGGGAGGGGGGCTCACCAACATCCACAGTGTAGATCCGGACCTCAGGGAGCTGCTCCTCCTTCACATGAGCGGAAACAGGCGTGGGGAGACCGCTAACTTCCCCGTACACCCCGGTGATTTGACCCGGGTCCATCTGGGTTCAGCTGCAGCACGCGCGCGCACACACACACACACACACACACACACACACACACACACACACACACACACACACACACACACACACACACACACACACACACACGGACGGACGGACTTCACATTAAAACTATTAGCTTACTTAACTGCAAACTCATGCCACCAAACACTACGGGCTAATCGTTTCCTGAGGGCAACCTGGAAGGTCAAATAATCGTCGGGCTCGACTTTTCTTCCGCTCCGTCTATGTGTTTATCCGCATGTCTCTATCAATGACTTTATCGCCTTCCCTGGACTCGATTCAACATTTCTCAACAATGATATTCACAGCACCAGAGCCTCCATGTTGAATTCATGAATGGACGATACCACTTCGCTCAGTTTAGAGGGGTGTGGTGGACACTAAATACCACAGGGAGTCAGCAGAGGATCGCTACTATTAGCAATTATTCGTATTACGAGTGAAGTACTTGAAATGTTGGCAGCCGTTACAGCAATTTGTTTCATGAGCCTGTCGAAAATAAAATCCCCTCCAAATTCAGTCCTGTTAATTTTCTTCCTTGAATTGAAGTGCAATTTTACTTTCAACTCTGGGGTGAATATAACTCAGAAATGTAATATTTTTATTTGTTTATAGCTTAAATATTGAATACATACCCACTGTAGCAGAACAAATCATGATGAGAATACTCAAAAATTCTCAAATACATAAAGAGTAAGAGGGTTTTCCACTTTTTACATGCATGCCCTTAAGAATAAGCATTTGCCCAGTCTATCTGGGTTTTAAAATCTATACATTTCATCATTCTTGGTGAATATTTCAGAATTCAATAAAAATCTTTAAAGGAGTCTTAATTGTCTTTTAAAGTTTGTCATGTCCAACATTTGATAAACTGTTCTTCACATTTTAAAAGTAGCTGTGCAGCCAACTTCTCACATCTGTTTTTTTTTTCTTTTTTCAGAGGACCTCTTTGGATTTCAAAAGACACAAACCCAGTGCTCATACATTCTTTATTACATTTGATCCATTTTACATCCATGTGCTCCAACACAAGAGCTCCTGATCAGACAGTATGGCTAAAATACATATACCAGGGCTGTTGCTGCATTTCATCTCAAAGAAGACCAACCTGGTCAGCAACACAAAGCTGGCCACCAAATTACTCAGCAGCTGCTGAGTGTGCTTTTTAAAGTTCAATACAACCAAAAGCATAAATATTTATGATACTGTAGCCACAGACAGGAATTCAAAGGCAAACATAATTACCACAAATATCACCAAGCTGTTCTGATCAGTCGCTTTACATCATGGTCTGTAAAGTATATTCAGTTTGCCAGAGGGTCAATCATTTAAACGCTCTCACAATTCAAGTATACATTTTACCATTAATCCCTTTGTACATTCTACCTGCAATCCACACACATGATCCACTGATCTGTGTTAAAAATACACAAATCGATAAATTTTTATGTCTTATCCCATAGTTGTATCTGTAAACAGTTCTTAGCAATTTTACATTTCATAAAAATCACACAGCACTGCTCTTTTAATAAATTAGAAAGTAAAATACAGTTATCCACCATAAGTGGTTAAAACATATTTTCCCCTCTCCAAAAAAATATTCATAGAAAAATGACAATATTTAATCTTTCCTGTCATATGAACTCTTTGATTTGATTTTATCTCCACAGGAATCTTCTTTTTCACTCTTATTTCTATAGGCTTTATTTATGATGTTAAATAAATTCTGATAAAACACACTCATGCAAACACCACACCGTTTATTTTAGGTTGCATTGTTTGTGTATTAAGTTTCTGGTTTGGCAGCTAGGGGAGGGAAGGGGAGGTTTGAGGAGAGTGTTTCCAGAATATTTCAGGGCTGTGGTTGGGTTGAAGTTGATGCTAAAATATCAACAAGGACCTGCTCTGCTCAGTTAAGGTGGCTTAACACTGTGTAGAAACCGTAGTTATAAATGTGGATTAAAAAGACACAGGACAGCAGTTTGAGCTGAGTACTAGACCAATACTCATTAGCACCATAGAGGGTTTCAGTGATCATAACAATGAAGGATTTTATAAATCTAAAATGCATCCTACAGTTTCCGGATATTTGACTCTTGAAGGAATTCTTCCTACTTTACTTTGGGAGCATTTTCACATCACTTTGTGTCAAAAATGAGTAAAAAGCAAATCCTGCTGGGTCAAAGACTATAGGAATAAATGTTTGCTATATTGAACCAAGAAAAGTTTTTTTTTGCAGGTGAACAGCACAAGTGAAAAAGCCCTGTTCGTAGTCCATCACATCTCGGTGTGTCAACAATTGACGTGTTGAAGGCTTCATTTTGAATCGGTTTTATTTAAGTCCCGGGAGATCCTCCACTGATTGACTCTGTCCTCATCCTTCTACTACATGACGTCAGCCCGTTTGTCCCTGACTTTGTTCCTTTGTTTCGTCCTGGCCTTGAAGGCGGCTGAGTTGAAAAGATGCTGTTAAAGGAAAAAGATACAATAGATGAGTGCAGAAAGATTCAGACTAATTAAACCACATTCACACAGGATTCCTTTTTTTTTATATCGTGGCACTTGTTTGCTGAAATTTCACATCAGGAATGCAGCACGATTACATGACAAGGGAGAAAATACAGAATAAATAATCATCCAAATCAGATGATTCAAGGCCGGGTTTAATAAGAAAGGAGCTGCTGTTACCTTCTCGAATCTAGAAATCTTGTTGCCTTTAACAGCTGCATCCAGAATGAGGGGAGCGCCGAGGCCGAAGATGTCTCTTAGCAGTGGGTTCAACTAAACAAAAAACATAAAAACACACTCAGATCAAGAAGGTTGATTAACAAGAAAAATCTGGCTATGCACATAAACTCTCTAGTAGTTTGAGATCAAATGATCACTTCACGTTATAGAGCATATGTACATCAGGCTAATACTACTTAGCAGTCACACAATGCTGGTCACCAGCTTGGTGACTCAACCCAGGAGTCTGACATCAGTAGACAGGGGGTCCACGAATTTAAAACTTAGCCTGGTATACAGGAAATTGAGGCTGAACAACTAGCAGAGAACTTGATGTACCAAATCATACGAGTAGGCAAACTATCTGTAGGTCTCTCTCCCTCCTTCTTTTCCTCTCATGATCAGCTCACAGACATTAAACAAGTTCAGGAAATAGAGTTTTATACCAAGTGATCCCTCATCCTGAACACAGCTTTCTCAGTGTCTGAAAAACTCCCCTAAATGAGATTTAGGGCAAACCTGTCACAAGGATTCCCATATACTAAACATAACATATAACTGCAAGAAAAAAGCTTTTATCTGGAGTATGTTCAAGTTTCCTGACCTGTAAGTGGTGTCTTACTCCCGACTCCAGGATCTCTTTAAAGGCATCATAGATCCTTCTCCTCATCCAGCTGTCGATGTAAACACTCTCTACTCCAAACCTGATCTTCTCTTCTGTGAAGTCCTCATTCTGTAGGTAAGAAAGGTAGACATCAAAGAGTGAAAGCCTGAAACATGCAGACATACAAAAATCAGCCAAGATCAGTGCACAACCATACAGACGGATGACATACCTCGATATAATGAAGCACTTCTCTGAAGATGGACCGTTGTTTCCGTCTGTCGTTCTTGGCTCTGTGTTTGTTGCCATCTGTGGCTAAACTCTTCAGACACTGACACAGGCTTTCACTGTCCTCCACCTCGAAGTCCTGCACACATCAGTGACATGAATGTAGCAGAAAAACATGACATCCAATGCATGAGGAGAGTGTGCATGTCCATGAAAGCTGCACCAAAAGACTTAAGACTGTTTACCTCATCTATATCTCTCCCCAGCTCAACCAGCAGAGCAATAGTTTCCCCCACAGCAATTCTGTAGTTGACGTCACTGCTCTGCAGACACGCCTGTAACTTAGGGAGGTGACTACATTGAGGGCAACAAAAGAGAGAAGAAAAGTGGAATTACTGTAGGTTACAGCACCAGTCACCAATGCTGGTTTTTAATCAGAATAAGCTATTTACAGTTGTGTCTCTGAAGATCTCCACCTCTTTCTTGCGGCGTTTGGGAATAACATTGCTTGTTTTGACTAAATTTTGTTGTTTTCCCAGGACAACATTGCTGGTTTCCCCATTTCGAGGGGTTAATGTCTTATTATGCCATCATAGGAAAACCAGTTTTGTGTGTCAAGATAACAAAAAATAAGTTAAGAATTTACTCATCGCAGAAAAACATATGGAGCATCAGCCTGGGGCTCCTAATCTGTACTTGAAAAAATAAATAAATAAATAAACATACGACTTGAGTTATTTCTGTAGCTGTTAAATTCCCAAGCTTGTCTACCAAGGTCAAATCAAATGAATTACCCTTCAGCTGAAAGTTTGTTCTGGCAGAGAACAAGCAGCAATTTGTAAATATCTTACGAACAGAGTTTATACAACTCACAGGTCAAGTAGCACAGTGAGTCGAGATGCTGGACAGAGTGTGACCAGCAATGACCAGGCCTGCAGGGCGGCACAGTGGAGGCCTGGACTGCCGGGTTTGGGTGTTGGTAGCGTTCCCTCTCTGTTGGGGTAGGAAGACATAAACAGGCTCTCCAGAAGGGCCAAAGACTTGATCAAGTCCTGGGGAAGATACAGAAAAATATAATGAGCAATCAAAGAGGAAAAACCCCCATGGTTAACATCTCTGACACCAACATACACAAGACCCTTGGGTTCCTTCAACACCAATATTTTCCTGCAAGACCTACAAGGATTCCCAGTTCTCACGAGGGAAACAGTTCTCACCTCCCCATCTTCAGCAGCAGAGACGTAACAGCACATCCCCAAAGCTCTGGCGCACTGATGGAGAGAGATGCATGGAGAGTTAAACAAGCAAACAAGAACAAACAAGAACAGGGGTAAAACTGTCATGCCATGCTACTCTCTTTTATGTGTTATTTCTTAAAATCTATTTCAGTCTCACCTGTAACCTTGACACACAGAGATAAATGCACTCTTTTAAACAAATTATACACATAGAGCTTTTGCTTTATCTCATGTTTCTAAACTATTGTAGCTCTACAGAACTCAAAAAGCAGTAGCTGTATCCAGGTGCTCTATATGTAGTCTGACAATACTGGATTTACCTAAGTTTTTGTATGCACTAATTAAAATCATAAAGAACATGAACATTTCATCCAGAATGTGATAAATTACTCATACACACATCACAGTGAAGAGGGGACTTTATTTCACCATATATTGGGATCTTGATTTTGTGTAATAGAGGGGTAATACTGTCTGGACTAAGTTTGATAAGAGGCACACATGTTTATGAGACCATGGGTACTTGCTTGCACTTGCTTGTTATGCGTAGACAAAAGCAGAAGAGAAAGAGCTAGGGTGTTGCTGACTGAGAGATACGACTTACAGAAGTTCGCTCATGTCTGCTCACCTACTCTTGACTCCTTTTGATGCAAAGGTACGTTGGCTCTACTTCGAGCTGTCCAAGCTTCGAACCGTATCTGTAAGTCTTAGCCCACCCACCCCTGCCATCCGGGTTAGCTCTCTTTTCACCCCAATAGTTTAATGCCATGCCCATAGTATTGCCGACACAACCCTAATCCACCTGTCAATCTCACAGTCTGCTTTGCCCTAGATTTTTCACTCTGGGTGGGGAGGTGATTTGGAGGTGCTGACTCTCATCCCAGCTGTAAACCACCCTAATGCCTATTCGAGGTCCCAGCCTGAAGAAGCCAACAGAACCACATTGTGTGCAAATAACAGAGATGGAACACTGAGGCTCTCAAATAACTGTAGACTCTCCTTCATCAACTGCGCTTTGAGCTCCTGTCCATGAAAATCACCAACAGGATCAGTGACATACAGGGATTAGATGGCCCACAGAACCCCCCCCCCCCCCCCCAGACGTTCACATGACGTTGTGTCAGCCACAACAGCCCAACAATGTACAGAGTTCTCAGCATCTCAGGGCATATTTCAATCACTCCTAGTGCCTTGCAGAGGATTTTTGATGACCTCTGCCAATGAGATGGAAGAGGCTTCCCCTAGGTTTTCCGACTCTGTCCCTTCTCATAAGACATGTCAGTTGGATTAAGGAGTTTCTCAAAGTGTTCCTTCCACCACATGACAATATCCCTGCTTTGGGTCAGCAGTTCTCCACCCCTGCTGAGGACAGCCAGAGCCAAGCCCTGCTTTCCCTTCCTGAGGTGCCTGTGCCATCAACCATACATATAGCATATTCAAATTGACATGCAAGTTACTTTTACTTCTTGCCTTTTTTACACATCTTTTGTACCCCTACAACCAAAGAATAATCTACATCCCCTCCATTTGGAAAGTCTTATGCGATCACTCACGCTCTGACGGGCTGTTATGCTGGCACTGTTGTCCATAAGAAGGGCGGTGAGGATTGGACGAAGCATCTTGAAGCCTTCCTCTGCCTCATCTCCACCTCCCAGCTGTATACAGAGCAAGGTGAAGACTGTGGCTGCTGCTGCCTGCTCTTCACTGCTGCCTACAGGGAGCAGAGAGTTCATTGTTTTTAAGTCACGGCAATCATGAAGAACATTAAGGCAAACTTTGTTTTCCTCCAACACACATTAACAAATTGACATCTAGCCTCACCTTTTTTAAGGCTCCTTTCCAGGCAGTCACTGACAGTGAGGCGTCTCTCCGTCAGAAATTCGTACAGCAGTCTGGAGGAGAAGGCCTGTCGTAATGACTCGAGACCTGCTAGACGTGTCTTTGAGCTGAAAGACACAGATACAAGGTACAGCAACAGTCGTGTATAACCAGGTGACATGTTTTTGTCTTTGTTATATTTCTAACATTTACTGATAGATCAGACTAACAAAACAACTAACCTTTTGTCCATAAGGTTGTCTATACACTGCTTAAGCTTGTCCTCTGTTTCCTCCTGGGCAGTCTGCTCATCCACTTGCTCACCTCCTAAGTTTACCAACACGCAGAAGAAAGCAACCAAATTTAATTTAACCTATCGGAGTTTGCAGGACCCAAACTAAAAGCTAACATATGTATGCTGCATTTATCACCATGGAAAAAGAGAGCTGTGCTTTAGCTGTTCTCCAGTTCAAATCTGCACTGTGTTGTACCAGGGTACTTTGAACTCGATGAAATTTCTGATTTAGAATCAAGTTTTTAAAACTCTTTATAATTAAGGGATTGCATCGGCCTAATTTAGCATTAGTTGCATCTAAAATTGTACACCTTGTTCTGAGTAGGTGTGCAGTCCTGTTGTCTTGGTGCATCATTCTGAAGGATGGGCTCGCCTGGATAATGAAGAGATGCTGAAAATTTTACTGGCAGTGTGGCATCTTTGGTATGCTCTTTGATTTCTTGCTCCCTTTGAAATGTAAATTGACTCAGATATACACGGGCAGAAATCATTTCATTAGATGTCACTGTATATTGTGGGCTAAGAATTCAGCACATGATTTCACCTTAATATAACACAGTTTATGTTTCACGCTATTATATTTCAACTCATGGTTTGACAGACTTTACACCCTAACTAACACAAAGCTGGTGCAACAGGTCAATAGCTGCATTTACATGGGCACAAATAATCAGAATAAAGGCCCGATCAGAATAAAAAAGCATCACGTAAACATGTTGATCGGAAGATTCTCATCCAATTTGGCTGAATAGGAAAGAAACTGTATTTCCATCAAGAGGGATGGTTTATGCCGATTGTTATTCCGAAACGCGTCCATGTAAACATTTATTCCCATCATGACTCTCTTACTTGACTTGGTCTTCACTCTTTATTTACTGAGGCCAGTTCAGGAGGTTCCATTATTAACACTCTGGCATAAAACACAACCGCAGGTACCGTGTCTGCTCCTCCAATAACATAACAAGGTGTACATACAGTGTAATAATGTCAAATCTGCTCACACAGTACAACCTTTGACAGAACATTAAAATAAGTGAGCAAGGGCGCCACCTAGTAACAACATTTAACAGGGGGGGAAATCCTGAATTGGATGGAGTGAGGCACTACCGCGTTTGTTGGTTTGTTGCGTCAATTTTTAGCAAAATTAGACAACACTGTGCATATCTAAATGCTTCTACTCTGAATAAAGCTTGGTGCATGTATACGCATGTAATGATCAGATTATTTGATTTTGCACCCATATTAACAGTGGATTCAGATTTTCTGATCCCTCAAATTTTTAAAAGGATCAAGAAATTTTGCCCACGTAAACATGGCTACTGATTCTTGTGAGATATACAAACCTGTCCCCTCATCCATTACAGAGGCAGTCTCACTGGCACTGCTGTAGTGGCTGACAACATCAGATGTCAGCTCATCGTCGCTGGCACCCATCTCTCCCTTCACCCCATTCTTCACACCTAGAGTTTAAAAGACACATAAGAAATTAGTACGACGGAGAAGCAGTTAAGTTCAAAGTAGGTCATACAAAAAGGAAAAGTGTGAAATGTATTTTGGAACAAAGAGGGGAAGGAAGATAACTCAGTAATGACTAAACTCGGGACTCACAACTAAAAGTGTTCGGGACGAGTTAATCTGTTTGTAAACTTTTTTTTAAGAGCAGTCGTGTGTGCTGAATTACTGCTGCTGAGCAAGGGGTGATTTCAATTACTCTGCTGAGCCTATGAGTGAAAACAGGTATGGTGAGGACTGTCATTTTGCTGACAGCTGCTCCGAGCTAGCGTGTCAGAGTATTAAAAACAGCTCAGGTGAGAAGAGCACAATGGGTGGCAAAGGGACAAAACTTTATGTAAGACTTGATTTCCAAAGGCACCAATAATATTCAAAAACAAAAGTTTCTTCCTTCCTCCATTGTCTAAAATTTTGCAGAGTCCTCTGTCATATGCCTCAGCAAATTACAATACAAGTAAGTGGACGAAATAGTAGACACATCTTACACTAGAATACCACATATTAGTGCATTTAAGGCTACACGGGATAGACTTATTGGATGTACTTGCAAACAACAAAAACAAGCTCTGATGAGTCATCTGGCTCGTCACCAGTGTTTTGACACTAACTGATACTCTAACGCATTACTTTTTTCAATATATAAACTCAGTTACCATTACAATATGGTGCGTTTGTCCATTACTTGATAAATGACCGGAGAAGAAGTAACATTGTTGGCTAGCTGCAGTGTACTTTTTCCTGTTTACAATGGATTGCTGGGTGCCAGCCAATCGCCGTGAAAGAAACGAAGAAGACACATTGTGGGCGTGTTTCGGTTTATGCAAACGTGCGGCAGTCATGGAGAGTTAAGTCAAGAGCAAGATGAGTTTCTCAAAGTGGAAATACGGTCATTATTTCACTTTAGTTGAGCATAAAGACAAAAACATTTCAGTCAAATGTAAGCTGTGTATTTCTAGCTCGAAGGTCCTATCTACTGCGACAAACAGCAACTCCAATCTGTCAAAACACCTCCACAAGCAACATGCCTCGACAAAGTTCGAAGCTAGCCAGAGGACACACTCGAAGTAAGTCAAGGCCCTCCACCGAAACAACAGCGACTGGATTATAACCGGACTGTAAGCCAGGGACAGATCAACAAAACTATTGCACGTTATGTTGTTGAAAATTAAGCAGCCGGTCTCTGCTGTGGAGTCACCTGCTTTCAGGCTAATGTCAAATGTGAGATGAAATGTAAAGGGTTAATTTTAACACATTAAGTAGAGAAGGGAAGATCATACTCATGACTAAGAGAATTAAACTGAAGTAGTCTGAATGCATAGAAGAGCTCACATGACGCACATGGTGCAAGTTCAATGCATGTCTTTGTTCTGTTTGATTAAAAACTTGACATTAGAGTTCAAAATATGATCACACTACATCAGCTGGTGATCTATACTACCTGCAGAAGACATCAGCAGACATGAACTGATGAAATGACAGCTGTAACTCTGAACACCTGGTCTCAACCAGGTTAGAAGAGGGCCAGCTTCATGACTCAGAACTAGCCGTCTGGGCTCAACAACCATGCTTACCCTCTTATCTCACCTCTGGTTTATTTTGACAGAACAATACAAAGACAAGAATTTACCCTTATTTAGACGGAGAATGTATCGCAGAGCTGATGACAGGTTCATGGAAGCTGATTGCAGGCTTCCTCTGCTCAGCTGTCTCTTACCGTCAGTAACTTTAGACCAGTGGTTCCCCCATCCACAGACACACACTTACACACTCAGACCCTCACGTTAGGGATTAAGGAACTTATGTTGAACTTGTCTAACTTTTATCTTGGGTAACTTAACTCATGAAACATTTTGGGCATGGACGTGGAAATAAAGACTGAAATATACAGCCTATTAGACAACCATGCTTTTTATACTTTGACTACTCTCCAGTATACTGACATATGTTTCACACAATAGCTGCCATTCTCTGTGGTGATTTGCGTCATTTTTTGTTTATATTTGCACATAGAGGTGAATAGTGTTTAATGTTTCAACACCACTTTTCTGTGTGTATGTGTGTGTGTGTGTGTGTGTGTGTGAGAGAGAGAGTGAGAAAAGGATTGGGACAGTTGGTAGAGCAGGGTCTGAGCAGATCAGGCAGGGGAGGCTAAGCTAAGCTAACCCTCAGATTCCTGCTGGCTCAGGACTTTCCACTGTTGGTGGGATCATTGGAGACCAGAGAGACCATTCATTTATTCTTTCACTGGGTGTGTATGATCCAGAAGGGTCAGACAGCATGTGCACGAGTGCGTATAAACTGGGTAAACCAGGGCAGCTAAGGTAACGCTGAGGTCACTGTAGGAATGTAGTATTATAACGTGGATATTTTAATAGAGAGTTACTTCCTGCATGAAAACACTCGCTCATTATTTTCATGTTTCACTCTGCATCAGTTACATCCATCACATACGTGTGCTGTAAAACTTCAACTATTCCAGCAGCACACTCTCTGATATCATTCAGCTGTGGGTGATACCAAAATGTAAGAACAGAACTCAAATGCAGATAACGCATGCCCAGAATGTGAAACGTGAAACCTGAACCCCCCCCCAAAGAAAAGTTATCCAAAACAAACCGACCCAGTGTTAAGAACCTGACATGTTGAAATCATCATTGTAAGGGGTTAGGTGTTAGATACGGTTTACAGTACGCAGAAGAAAGTTGTCTGAAGACTCTGACACCACTTTTTAGGATAAGACCAAACCTTTCATTGTCACTGATGATAAAACAAACTAATTAGATGAGACAGGGTGGTTTGTTGTCTTTAACACATTTGAATTAAATGCTGAGTTCAATATCATGCGTTTGTTTTCACTGTCACTTTTAAAAAGAATTTAATGTGGCGAGATTTTCAAACAAAACCCTTATATCTGTTTTTAACACCATAAAAAATAAAATAACGTGGAGTCTAGGGTGGATGAAAGTTCTGGTGAAAGGCATTAATTCAACCAGTTTTTTTATTCACATATTCACACGCACACCGTGAGTCCATCTTTTTCTTTCCTAGGGCATTATACTGGACACCACATATTATTGGCAGTATCTGTAGTATTAGTAGTAGTAATAGTAAACTACTACTAGTAGTAATTAGGGGTGGGTATCACTAGTGGCCCCACGATTACTTGGGCCACAATACGATATTATTGTGATTTTTAACATTTGAAATACAGTGAGTATTGGGATACAATATATTGTGATTTATACAATTTTTCAACTGTTTAGCTAATTTGGCATTTGTCTTTCCTTTATGTTTGTCTTATTTACACAGTATTTTATTTTCATGTAGCACTTCTTGCAAACCTTAAATATATTTGTTGCACTAACTTTCTCCTGCTCTATGATGTCACCTCTGCCAACCTCACTGGACAAACAGTTAATTTTTTTCTATTATCATAGATCTGACTTTGTATTAACAATTAATTTGAAAAAATCAATACATGGTCAATGACCATGTAGTAATTCGCCCACCCCTAGTAGTAATATTATCTGTTTGATGTCTCTGTTTTGGTGGTGAGTGACAGCTGGCAGTTATAAACCTTTTCCTCAACGTTGTTTTTACCAACAGATCTTACTGTTGCTGCCAGTGATATATTTCAAGTGTTATTATTGATCACAAATGCTGAGCGATGCTTTGTTTTGACCATGGGACCATTTTAGCATTTGCAGTCTTTTGTCAACATGGAAATGAGGCTGACGAGGAAATCTCTCCAAGTTGTTGTTTCTGGAGAAACAGCTGCTCTCTGGGAAATCAAACATATCAAAGCAGCCCAGCCTCTGCAGTCACAGTCTGTCTGTGATGACATAAGTTTAGAAAAACAAGCAGTTACATACTGAGTGATGTTAATTCAACATTATAGTACATCTCATCCAACATGTTGCGTTTAACAGTTTAAAAGATAAACCTGACTATGGCCTTGGTAAGACTGCTTTTCTTATGCAATATTCTATTTACCCTGGCAGAACAGCCAGGAGGCTCTCACGCTCAATAAGCTACTGTTCACAGCGCAACCATTACCGCCTGTATCAGCCAGTAATTTCCCAGCCATCATCCTTGAACTACAGGCTACTCCCAAGCTCCAACACACACATACAGAAACACACAGCTACACACCTTCCCACGCAGTCCTGCCCACACACAGCTCAGTTATGGTGTGTGAGCTCCCTGCCACCACTCACGTGTCGTCTCCACTTTGCTACTTTATGCTTACATAGCAATAACTAACACAGCTTCAGCAGCCAGTCAGTCAGTCTCAGTGGAGGGGAGACTGCAGATGGACGAATCATAACGCTTTGCCAAAAGGGAGGGGAGTCGTTTGACTCCTCTGGCCATGGCCAGCTATGAGGAGCTTAAAATACAAGACTAAATTAACATGAGCTCTCTTTACAAGAATTCTGCTGAGGTCTCCTTGGGGACATCACTCTCACGACAGTTTATGCTTGTCATTTTCATTGGTTCTTGTCCTTTTAAAGCTGAAACACACCCTACTGGAACTACACCTTACACAGACTTTTAGATTTCAGTCAAAAAAAAAAAAAAAAACGCCTTGAAGGTTAATAAACCAGTACGCTGATGCCTTATGAGATCTAATGATATTTTGTCCAAAATGTATTTCTTTCTCACGATAACATATTTTTAAAAAGTTTTTCAAATAATTGAACCTTACAGGAGTAAGCCAACATGAGATTTGAAAGCTGTAGTTTTTCATATAGTGTGGGGATTTGAAAAAGTATGAAAGACTGCCACACAAACTTCAGATGTACCCAAAGGGGAGAAATAAGCAGAGACCCTCTGGACATTACTGACTGTCAGCTAAAAACAGAGGGATGGTTGAAGAGATTTCAACAAAACTGATGATACAACACTCAGTTCTTTTTGCCAAGCCAAAAGACTTGCAGTTGAGCAACAAGGTGTAATATGGAGCATCTGCTTCCAATGGGTAATTAGTTTCAACTCAGAAAGCAACTCTTCACACTGCCATGGTATGTCTACATTACATACATGGGCGAGGATGCAGAAAAAGTAGAGCAGCCAGCAGGCATGGGGTAGGATTGCACTGCACAAACTCTATAGGTTAATTATTGACTGGGAAAAGGTTGTGGAGCTTGATCTGAGCCTTTTGGTTTGTTTCCCTATTTACAGACTCCAGCCAAGCGCATGGAGAGATGAGAAAATAAGATCAATATAAACTTCAATTTAAATCCCATTTGTCATTGAAGCAGCCATCAATTGTAGCGTCATAGTAGCGTATTAGCATATTGTTTTCAAAAGTGTCATGTGTGAGGACTGGCTGGTCACAGGGCTTTTTTGGTGGCACCCGGGCACTTAAATAATTTTCGCATGTACAATCTGGAAAACAGTTATGAAAACAGTTCGAAAACTTCTGATGGTGAACTGTTGTTTTCTCAGAATCATTGGACACAAAACCACTAAGCCTTCCCAGCTCCACCACAAACAAGTGAGTTCCCATGGTGTGGAGCTGGGTTTCCAGTTTACTAAGCCTTCCTATTAAACCAAGCTGGTATACCACAGTAGGTTACCAACAAGAGGGCTTGATTTTACTGATGGTTAACTCTATTCAATCCTTCTTAAATACATGGTTTATTGCATTGCCAAGCTGTACCAAGATGTATGACCAAAATCAGCATGGATTTGAGTGCTACAATAGGAAAGCTCTGTGCACCAGTACCAGCAATGTAGTTAGTACTTCTGAAGCCCTGAGACAAATCATTAATCAGCAGCCTGGCCAGGAAAGGTGTGAGAGGGTATATCAACTTGGTGACTTTGACATAGGAATGGTTGGGGGATTTACCACATGCACTGCAAAGGAGGTTCAAAAAGTTTCCGAACAAGCCTTTAGTGGGACACAAATCTGGGGTCAGGGGCCAAGGGTCAGAGGAGTTACCTTTCAGCGCTTTAGCCGACAGCTGAAGCTGAAGAACCTCCTGACGAAGAGAGCCTGGTGGTGACGTTTGAATGAAAAATCAATGGTTGTATGAAAATGAAGGGGGAACAGAATGTGGGGGAGTGGTGGGCAAATGAATGAATGAATGAATGAATGATTGAATGAATGAATGAATGAATGAAAAATGAGCATTATGATGGAGAAAAAAACATTAGGACCAAGCACTGTGTTTCATTAAACTTTGCATTGTAAAAAAAAATTGATAAAAATGTAACAAAACTGCACATCTTAGGAACCTTACAACAAACTAATGCAAAATATTAACACCAGAGTTGATGCTGCAATGGATCAGCTGCCAAGTTAATTTCATTATTTGTCTGTATCTGCAGCAGAAATCTACATTTCATAAAAATGTGTTAGTGTTAATTCAGGAACTGGCACGTGTTTTCTTCCTTGAAACGTCACTCCATAAAACGTGAGGGGGCTCTAACACCCCTGCAGGCACATGCATAGTCCGCACCACTACTGTACATTGATAAAAACGTGTAGCAGCCTGTGACTGAAGTTTAACTATGAGAAGCGAGGTGAACAGACTCAATGCGAGTGTAAATTGACTGAAAACATGTTGCAGGGGTTGGCCCTGGTCAGCACAGGTTTCGTCTACACAGCATGCCACTAGTAATTGCTGCTAAAAATACCATGCTCAAAACCTTAAACCTGCAAGGTGAGCTTCAGCTAGCCATGGTCCTGAAAGTTGGCGAAAAAAAATAGCTCACATTAGTATGCAAAATACTTTGATTATTCTTAGATGCCCCTACGTTTCTACAATATTAGAAGTGGTGGCTTCAGCAAAACTGTGAAATACACATGCAGCCTGGCGGTGATCATAAACCACATGGCCGTCCTTAGCGACTAAACTAAAATGAGAGTCAAAAGGAGCAACAAGCGGTCTCGCACCATTATCATGTCAGCTACAGGCTTAACGCTTAAGGTGTGGCACTAAAACGTGTAGCACGTTTAGGACATTACTTCTGGATTTCTGTTAGGACCTCACTGGTGGGTTAGCATTGCCGCTACTGCTACTTACCCGGCTTGCTAGAGCCACGTTTCCCCTTTTTACTCCGAGGCATTTTGGACGCGCTCTGATACACAACAAAGCTAGCAGAAGTTAGCTAGCTAAAGTTAGCAACTGTCAAACGGGATCCTCGCAGATATGACAGCTGGTGTCAAGGCAGCAGCAGCACCAGAAGGCGAGATGTCTCCGTTGTTTAACCTGACAACAGAATGAAAAGGTCCCGGAGTTCCTTCTTTCACACTTGTGTTGACACTTTGGCTGATGCTGATTAGCGTCCTCCGTGAGAACGAACCACGTTCCTCCGCCAACTCCCCGCTTTCTTCACTCTTAAATAAATAGTTCACTGGCGATAGGGAGAACCTTTCCAAATCGGGTTTCAATAAGTATTATCTATAATTGTCTCCAGGTAATCTATATCTTATACTAGGTTGAGAAAGTAAGTCTTTTCCGAAATGTTTTGGGCGGAGTTTCGAGCACGCTACTGTCGCTAAGTCCACCATCTTCCCCTCAGCAACGACTGGACACACCGGAGTGTCGGACCGGGGGTTCCGACTGCTGATACTCGCGTGCTAGAGGCAGATGTGTGGTAGGCGGGGCTTAAATAGGAAACGTTCTCATTACCTCACCTCTGCTGCATGGAGTGTGTTCACATTCATTCATTTCATTTGACAATGAAAACAAGATTGAATTAGTACATGATAATAAAAGCCAGGATCTAGTCTTTTATCTTCGTTTTTTCCTGTCGCACTTGTGATATTGGATTGGCTGTTAACACATTACAGGCAATGGAAAAAATTAGAGGATAACTTTTGGTCAAATAAAATTTTATTTATAACATTTACATGACAATGCTGTTAAGTATCAAAATACACAGAGATGTCCTAAGAGCACTTTCGGAACAGAGTTTTTAAAAGGCTGTTTGACAATGATTCAGTAGTATGTCATTCTTAGATATGTTTTTTAATAAAATTAGTTAATGTACCAGATTAAAGGGGAGCACCTGGCAGAATTTAAAAAGTAATTTTTCACTACAGAGCATGCCTATTCTCGTTGATCAGTATTATAATGTTATAAACAGTGAGAAGGACAAATGGAGTCAGGTTTTATTTGATGTTGAGATCTGGTTTTCGCTGTCTTAAAAGAGTAACCAATCCAAACATTAATAAAAACTTTTGATAAAAATACAGTACTGTACAAACTTCAGATAAAATGGCAGTTGTGTTGTTCTTCATATTTATGGCATTGTTACACTGGCCCTGTATGATCTCTCTTGTATAAGCTGTTAATTACTAACAAAATTAAGACTGAAAATGTGTCTTCGCTGTATTTCAAAGACCTTACAATAAAGTACAGACATGTAGTAATTTCAAATCAAAAGAACCATTTGGAATCTGTTTCGTTTGGTCCTCTTGAGACAAAGTAAGCAATGTCAAGTGTCAATAGTAAACCTTTATTCTACAGCTTAACCTAATCTAGTAGTTAGTGGGTCCATACAGCCTCAATGCTTAAATTCTCACAGTGAGAGCAGTGTATGAACAATCAATAAAGCGTCTAAGCCTACATTATTAAATAATAGTCCTCTGACTCAGCATACTGCCTGTGAATCTTCTTCTCACATCCAAACACAGATGCAGGCCTGTGAATAGATGCCTAAACAGTTAGTGTACTGACTGTTTACAAAATGAAAATCTGCTCTTTAATATGTCCTTCATTAATTCTTTGTATCAAATGTCATCGTGTCCTGCTGTCTTCAAAAATTCTACCTATGCGCACCCGATAAAAATACTCTACATTGAATGTGCTGATAACCTCCATACTGAGTTGTATTACACTGGATTACTTTGGATTTCTTTTCCCTCATAGGACCTCCAGTGTGTTTGGTGGTTTATGGTGCATGAGCGTCTTTCTTATCCAGAGTAGTAGTTGGTTGGGACAAAAGGCATCTTGCTGACAGTGGCAGGAACTGCTTTTTTCCGGACTTCAACCTGGATGGCTGTACCATTTTTAGCGAATGCTGCGTCCACATAACCCATGGCAACATTCTTTTTCAGGCAGGGAGAGGGGCAGCCGCTCGTCACCTCACCTAAACAAAACATCACAAAACACAGTTACAAATAAAATATTTCTATAGTAATCTGAAAGTTTTGTCTGCATCTCACATTAACTTTAAAGCAGACACCCTTGTGTTGTGCTAAATGTCTGCCTGCTTACATTAATTCACCTGTTTACTTATTAAGTTGTTTAATAAAAGCACCGTCTGCAGCTAATCACAGGAATTTTATTTCAATGCATGAATTAATCCAAATGTGAGCAAAAAAATGTATTAAGTTATAAATTGTGCCAAACAAATTAGAAAGTTTTAAAATAGAATTAGATGCACAAAGTCTATACGTATTGTATATGTGGCTTAGGGATGTTAGACATTAGGGAACCCTGGTGGCAGAATTGTGACAGACATGGGCAGGCTTCAATCCACGTGTAACTTCTCTAAATACTGCATTTATTACTGAATATTTTCTGGTAATTCTCTAAGATATTTAGAAAAAAATTCCTTCAGGATTAATAATGTATTTCTGAGTTTATCGAGTGGTGTTGCATTGCTCTTATTATTAAAGAGGTATCACAGCTCTGTCTGATGTAAAACTCCCCCAGTGTTTGCTCTTTACCGATGACCTTCCCCTCAGAGCTGAGGATGGGTGTGTGTTGTCTGACCGGGGGTCCAGTGGATACCAGACCGACTCTCTTCCTGGCTGTTTTGGCTTTGATTTGAGGTACGATGATGTCAGCGCCAGGGAAATCCTTGTTCTGACGCCGGCGCTTTCCTGAATAAAAGTAGACAGAGATTTTTTAAAGGGAAAAGCATGCAGAAGCATTTTCCAACATTAACTTCTTCAGGTTTGATAAAAAATGGTCTAAATACAACAGAGAGTTACTATAAAAAGCTATTAGTAACTGCTAAAAAGGAAACATCTTTCTTCTTTGCAGCTGAATGAAGCATGAAGTCTAAAAGCTATAACTATATTATGTCTACCTATATCCAACTTTGTGTAGTGACAGTACTGTTTGCAGCAGCACATTAAGTATATCTCATTATCTGAGAAAATCATGCAGATTAGGCCTGGGTGTGCATATACTTATGACTTTGATGCTAGTATGGGTCTGGGTGTCTGCTTAATGGGTGGTTCTACCTGCTTTGGACTTGATTCCTTCATCTCCATAAAAATCTAACCGATGTTATGTAGGATCCTTTTATCCACTTGCAGTGATTCTTACTTTACACAGTTACACGGATTTCAGCCTTTTACATAAGCTAAACGGATTTGAAAGACATGATATTTTCTGTTTTTCAGTCCTACACACTCAGTCCGAAATCGATGTCCTCATCTAACTCTCTGCAAGAAATGAGAACTTAGATCCCACCTATAGTCCACACTAATGTTGCTTCCACAGGTGTAGTGGTCTCATCTATGTCGTTTCCATAGAGACAAAGCCCCGCCTCCAGCCGCAAACTGTCTCGAGCACCCAAACCAGCCAGCTTAACCTCACTGTTTGCCAGCAGCTTTTCCGTCAGCTCCACCACTCTGCGTTGAGGGACGGAAATCTGAGACACAGAGACATAGACAGACTGTAGAGCTGGGTCTCTATACAGAAATTTTTAAATATCTAATCAAATATTATCTCATCAATCATTTTTTAAATGAGATGTGTCAGAAATGAACAGATTCTTAATGATAGCACACTTAATGCACAGTTATTCATTTGAAAAAAGTAATTTTCCTTCCATCAGCATGTGAAGAGATTCATCTTATTAGCAGCTTATTTTGGCAACAATCAAAAATTTTATGAGAATAAAACACAAAGTGATTCAATGGACGTCAGTTGAAGTCAGTAGGCTCTATTTTCATGTCCGCCTGTGAGGCGGCGAGGGGGGCGGACCCCGCACAGTGGTATTTTCATCTGGCCGAGCCCGGTGTACAGCTTGGCGCACCGAGGTCCGCCAAGCTAGGCGTGGTGGCGTGGCAGGGGGAGGTGTCGACAGAATCAGCTGGTGCAATGACATTTTCATGCTCGCCGGTGGCGTGTAAAGTGCGCTGAAAGCTCGCCGATTGAAACCTGGTCAGCTTTCAGCGCAGGCGGAGCGCAGCTGGTCTAGTGGTATTTTGGTAGACCGGCAGCGTATCAGCATAGGGCACCGATGCCTCATCGTCAGGTTTCCACAGTGTCAGGCACATTTCAGTGCAATAAATAATCATCAACAACTATTAATCTGAGTCAGCACATACATTTAGATCTATATTGATATATTCTGATCTATATCTGATCTGATAAGCGCGTTTTGCAAGCTTTAAGACACACAACCTGACTGAATCAACACAGCTGAAACCGCAAATTAAATTAAATATCTAGTAAATAAACACACATGATGAAGTTAACAAGATATGTAATTCATCTCCGTCCTTTTCTTTCTTCCTCTTCCTCTTATTTCTCGTGCAGCTCGACCTGGACACGTCTCTGTGTCCTCTTCCCGTCCTGCTGCAGCTGCTACTGAGGCGGCTGAACAGACGATTTATTTCAGTGATCAGATGAGTTATTTACTTTAAGCCTACATACGAATATTATAATATTCAGTTTTGTGAGCCAAATTTATTTTATACGCCAACATCTATGAAAGAAAGAGCCAGGCCACGGAGTGCGATGCGTCATTTACGCACAGATGGTTCCGATTTTAATACCATTATTGGAATTTATGATGTGATCTCTGCGCTCAACCCACCTTTGTCACGTGAGGTTTAAATATATGCAACTTTATGTGAGTGTCTTTATTTGTGGAAAAGGATGTTTGTCTTACCAGTGGGTGTAACATTACACACACCAAATCCATCTGTGCTTGTATGAGAGAGTGTGAAGGACGCCCTCTGCAGCGACACTTGTTGAGAAGCTGCCTTCTGTCGCCATCGTGTGGCATTACTGTCTTCAGACATCTCTTGATCTCTTTGACTACTTCACGAAAATTGAAATACGCCTTGCCGGTGGCGGATTTAAAGGTGGGGAGAGGAGCTGATGTTATTGGTCAATACAGGTCTCGGCTGTGTTAAACTCACTCCACGCCCTCTCTCCTCCCTCGCTACGACTTACGCAGCTGAGTTGGGGGGGCTACTTACGCCGGGCTGCGCCCCTCACCAAAATACCAAATTATGCTTGGGAATGCCTTGTCGGCGTGGCGGACCTGACTTACACCGCGCCTGCGCCACGTCTCTGGCGAAGCATGAAAATAGAGCCCAGTGTGTTTATAGGGAAGAATTAACCCAAGACATAAAAGCAAACTCCCACATTCCCTCTGTTGGAGAGAAACCCACCCACATCCATTCTGCTCTGCACAGAGCTTCGGCATAGAGGGCCAATAGAGTGTGAAAAAAAAAATCCTTGTAGTAAACAACTCATCCAGAGTCAGGCAGCAGGTTACTCACCAAAATATTAATGGGTGAGTGTTTCACAGTGTTAACACGGTTCATGGAGATGAGTAACAACAGTAGAGGAGATAGTACTGTTTTGAAAAATTAAGACCAGCCATAACTCTGTGACTAGGGGCTCAGTGTTAATGAGTTAAATGTGAGTTACATTAAATGAAAGTCAATTGGCATCACTAAACGCCTTGATAGTTTGATGTTTCAAAACTTAATTATATTCTTCTCCTTAAAGTCAGTCATGTAAATATACTACAACAAAGTAAACAGCATCTATATAAGCCATGCAGAGTGCTCCGTGCATTGTTGTATGTCATGCTGTTTGTTACCATGAGACTCACGTGTTTTTTCAGAGCAATTTCTATGCATAGGTTTATATAACTTAGCGGTGACTACACCTACTTTTGTCTCCCTGGGAGGATTTTAAGCTGAGTTACAGGTCAGATTGCTGCTGGTGACCCCTGCTGGGTAGGCCTGCCTGACTCCAAATGCTGCAGTGCTGACTGAACTTCCCCTTGGGGTTTATTTAAGTTCTTCTTCCCTAACCTCTCTCATCTTTTTATCAGCTGTACTTGTCTTTTAATTACTCTCGTTGTTATTGCTAATATTAGACCTCTTTGACTTCAGTCATATTTGCACAATCTTTGTTGCCAATATTGCCTATGTGTTTGCAGTGATTATTAAAATTGTACCCATAAATCCACATAAACTATAGGTGTTCTTTCTGTTGTGTGGTCTCTATCCATCTGTCCCCTCCGTCCCACTTTCTGTGTCCATCTAGACTCAGCAGATGCCTGCTAACCAATGAGTCTGGTTCTGCACAGGCAGGTGTTTATTTTGGCCCTCATTTCAACAAAGACTCAAACAGCATCCTTGCCAACAGAAAGGACAGTGTGTCTTACTCCTTTTTCACTCTAGCTGCATGCACAGCTCAGGAAGGGTGCAGGACAGCTGTAGGACAGCTTTTTATATTCATTTCAGCATGTACAAAAAACAGATCAGAGCTTTCAGTATGCTAACATTAGACACTGGTGTCCTTCATGTTTAGACCCCTTATGATTGCTTTATGACAGAAATTTGATAGATGTTAAGTAATTAAAATTTAACTAAGTAGAGGAAAAAAGTCAACATTTCACCTGCTTTCCGCTGCAGACCAACTACTGCATGACTATTTGAGTGCAAATGCCCTTGCCTTTACATTTGTAACAAATGACCCTGGAAATCTGATGCAAATGCACAGGCTTTCTGAGTGGGCTATAAGCCACTCAGAACTGCAGATACTGAAAATGTTTAACTTCAAACACTCCAGATTACAACTTCATGTAACATCTTTTGCATGTATTTGGAATCGTGGTTAATGTCAGGACTTGCAGTTTCTTGTTTAAATTCATAAAGGGCACTTTCCACCCAAGCATAACCTTAATAATATATCAAGTTTGGATCTATTAATTTGTTGGTTTAGAGACCTAATCCAATCCGTGTGAAAGCAGCTTCATTTTCTGACCTCCACCCCGTCTTCTCCAGTGTACCCACAGCGGGTCACCCTGCACCCTGGAACACCAAACACAGTGGCCAAGGCAGAGGTCATGAAGGTCAGCTTACGAAGGTCCTCCCTCATGCCCTGCTGGAGCACCTGGGACATGGATGGACCTGGCAAGACACAACATGACGTGTATAATCATCCACATTTACAAAGACATTAAGAGTGTGATGTGGATGATGTCAGAAAGTAAGTTTATAAGGAAACAGTGAGGAAAGGGTTCAACAAAACATGAAAGAAGTCATGTGAAGGGGCATCTGAAAAACTAGAGTTGGGCAAATAAGACACACCACAGCCAAGTCAGAAAGCAATGACCAAGGAAGAGAGTAAATAAAAGATATTTCACCTTGCAGAGCAATCAGCGCTTCATCAAGGAACTCCAGATCCACATCAAAACCTGCAGCTTTGTACTCTGCGAGTCTGGCCTACAAGTAAAGCACACACAAACACACACCTCAGACATGTTCTGCTGGTGTATTGGATCCCCCCCTCACTCACACCATGTGTGTATTTACCTTCATATGGGCAGAGTCCTTGTCAGCGCAGCCAGCATTTGAGACAACGTAGAGGTAGCCTTGGTCTGTCTTTGTCACGATGAGGTCATCCATTATGCCTCCTTTCTCATTGGTGAAGAGGGACAAGCTACCCTGAGGGGTTGGGGGATCGTGAGCATTTTTATGTGTGTCATGTGTTGTTTCGGTCACATAATTCAATTTTTCCATGAGCTAACTCAGCCATTATCCATCAGGCTTACTTGACTACTGCTACTGTAGTACTGTATGAATAGGACCAGAGTTAGAAAAAATGCATGAACAGCCCCTTTAACCATAAATGTTTGCTTGTGTCACTGTTATGTGTCACTTATTGAAACATGCAATTTTTTGTGATACTATGTGGACCAAAAAAATGGGAATACCTAGTTAAAACCTAACAATTTTTCATCTTACCTGATTGTCCTTGAGTTCTGCAATATCTGCAACTACAAGGGATTCCATGAACTTCACTCGGTCTCTGCCGTGGACTTTGGTCTGACAGACAATAAAAGAAAAAGGATGATTTGACTCAGTTAATGCTGTTTGTGAGATTGTTCATGAGGAGTGACTGTATGTATTATTACCTGCAGCATGTGACTGACATCAAAGATGGAGCAGTGCTCTCTGGTGTGCATGTGTGAGACAATGTGACTGTCTTTGTACTGCACAGGCATACTCCAGCCTGCAAACTCCACCATCTTTCCCCCGTGTTCTCTGTGAAAGTCAAAGAGTGGAGTCTTCCTCAGCGCAGCCTGAAGGGAAAGAAGATACTGTGATGATTTTGAAATGGGCAAAACAGGAACACAGGAATACAAGAGCAACAAAAATAGACTTTTACTATGTTTTGAAAGTAATCCTCTAAAAAATGGGCTTCATCTAGAGCTTCTAACAATACACAAATTGTCTTTGTCTTACATCTCTTGATAACTTTTATTGTTTTAAGTATTTTAATGTATTTGAATGTTTTTCTAAGGTTACAACAGCAATCCTGCCCTGGGATGTACCTTCCAAATACAATACTTGTGGTTAACAGACAAATACCCTTTTGTTATGATTTGTTTTTCCTTATCTATACTACTTATACCTTACTAAACAGTAAGAGGCTAAGGCCAACACTAGCTGTCATCAGGTAATACGTTTGGTTATAGTTTGTTCTAAGCAACTGCAGAAACATGATTGGAAGAAGGCCTACTCCTTATATTGATTTAATGGCTTCCTATGGGTTATGAAAGCAAAATGTTTTTTTATACTGATTTGGCACCTGCTATGAACAAAGTAGCATGTCTTGTCCTTTTGTGTCTTTTGACAAACAATCTCATCCTACTGATTTTTGACAGTCAAATACATTCTTAATTGTGAATATTTTATGTTGAAATGGTTAAAACGGTAGTCTTTCTTTAGCTGCTTGGGTGACACCTACCCCTTCAGACAAGGTTTAGCAGTAGAAATCACCACATAACTACAGGAGGTCAACATAACTACTCATGATCTTGTTTGCTTTGCATCAGTGTGATGCCCAGTCTATACTATGAACATGAACAAAGTTCTTACAGGAGCTTTGAACATTTTTATGAATTTCACAACATTTATACCGAGTCAGTTCAGAGATGTGATAACTCCCACTAAAATCTAGACCCTAAAATACATTATGCCACAATAAAAGATTACTCTTACCAAGCTTCTATATATGTAGTTACACACATGGCTTAATGAACTAGTAAACTATCCTCTAACACTGGACCTCTCTCCTACTCATTATTCTCTGTTATCTTTTTTCTGCCCTTCTGACCTTTGAACAAGCTAGTGTAGGGGGCTTATCAGTGTATTATGAGATAGTGTGTGTCGACACAAATCATTCTTAATCACTTTTGCCAAAACTGTCTGAGTCCAAAGTCAGCGATCGCTCTTACTGAATAAATGAAAAACATTATCCCAGTGTAACATGCACACAGACACACACAGACACAGAAAAATAACCACAACCCACTGGGGAGCTCCACGTGGTCAGTGGGACTTTGGTCTTTTCAAACCTTTTAATTTTTGCAACATTTTAAGATAAAAAGCTGCTGGATTCATGAATCCAGTGATCTTTTAAGAGTAAGGCTGTTTCAGTGCTGACTGCAGTACAGTCAGTCACAAGATAGTTAAATGAAATTATCTTATGCAGCTCAGTGAAGCAGGGAGGGAAAGTCTGCGGGGACAGATGTGCATTATATCTGCATGAAGTGACTGCAGATGTATCCCACTATCATTAAACTGAAAAATGAAAACACAGCTCCACAAACCAACTCTGACAAAGCTCCAATGTCCATTCCCAGCACACCTAACTATTCACAGTCTTTAAACTTTCATTCTGAATTATTAACCCTAGATTCGCTTGAGTTTCACGGTGATGTAAACACGGGATTGTGGGCTACAGCTACAGCACTTTGGACCACTTGCAGCGATGGAAGTTTTCTGTGCAGCGACACTTCATGGTCCACTCACCTCTCCAACCGAAGCCTGTCTCTGCTGCTGCCTCTTTCCTGCACAACCAGCCCCGGAGACCCGCAACAAACCATCTCTGGAAGCCCGCAGCCCAAAACCCTGACCCCCAACTCCGACCAACAACCGAGCCCACATCATGAGTCCCCGCTGAAGCCACAGACACACACTCCGGGCAGGCGACACTTCCGCCGTGTTACTAAACTCTTTGGACTCCCCACTCTGGATTTACTGCTATCGAAGCAAAAAAAACACATGAAGCGCCGCTGATGGAGCAAAGTCTTGTGGGAAATGAAGTTTGTTATTGCGTTGCGGGAGTTTCAATAGAAGCTTGAACAACACAGCCTTGTTCAAAAATTCATATATATATATATATATATATATATATATATATATATATATATATATATATATATATATATATATATATATATATATATATAATTTTTTTTTTAATTAATTCATTTCATTTTTGTAGATATTGCACGTTGTCTTATTTCTAAATGTAATATTTTTAATCAACAAGCCGTCATCCAAACACAATGTATTCCCTTTAGCCCTGTAGCTGGTTTATAATCCATGATGTTCAGATTTGTAGATTTCCGTCTCCTTTGAATTTATGCTTAGAGAAACATTTGTGATTAAATCAACCATCAGAATTGAGAAAACACCAGCAGATTTTACTCATAATATTTATATCTTACTGTCTTACTGAGTTATGTTAAATGTCAAGTTCAATGTAATTTAGAGCAGTAAAGACAGAAAATGTTAAGACTCTATAGTGAATGTTAACTTTTATGCTTACAAACTGTATGTGGTCTGACATAAAACTGTTGTTATGGGAGCGCTACCAACTATCAAAACTGAAGGGCTATTTTAGTTTGCTGAGTAAATAAGTCATCCTTAAATCAATAAAATAATCTTTAAAGCAATACTTAATCCTACCGTAATTATGTCTCAAGATAATATCATGGAAATAAGCCCAGTAATGTTAAGTTTGCTTGTGGTAATGCAAAACAGAATCCAAACAGGGAGAGCCAATTGAATTAGATTGCTTATTTCCAACCTGTAGACAAAGCAGATTGTCTTATGGCTGACCATAAATGGTCCCACACTCAAATGTGTATGTGATATGAATGAAGGATGTAATGAGCTACAGGACAATTCTGCTTTTCTCCTCCAAATAACTGAGGCCATACAAGGATCAACATTTACGCAAAACAGATATATTACCAAATTATTGTTTAGCTTAAAATATCAAATGTATGAAAAGGCACATAGCCTGTGCCTTAAAAATCACAAAGTAAAATGATCCTCACATTAAACGTTGATAGGTTTTGTAAGTAGTCATTACACTATACACAAAGACAACTTAATGTCCTCCCATATCTGTTGCCCCTGTTTAGAGTAAAATCAGACCACATGTCTCCTTTGTGAATAAATCTGTTTTGTATTTTCTCATCTATTCTTGTTTCCATTCAACAGAAATCAAGATATTTAATCTTATCTGTGCATACAGTCTGGAAACGGCTTAACACCTGAAAAGATAAGGCTGCCAGCCTTTATTAGGTAAATATCTATGTGCATTTGTTTATCCCTATGTACCCACCATGCCCTCCACTTGGATCTTTGAGTCATTCTTTGGCCTGAGAAACTAATAATACCTCCATGTGTCTCCTGCTATTTTTGGACTCCAGGGCCTGCAGGGATGGGTGTGTGAGTGGGCATGTTTGGAGGGGATTGAAAAGTCCCCCACCCCACCCCACCCCCACCCCTTCCCTCTGGCTCACCACCCTCCTAACAGGACAGCCAGGGTGGGCTAAATTGGAACATGGACACACAACACATACTTCGCAAAGGGAGGCAGCCAGTGGGGCGTCCCGTAGTTGCTCGGTGACACACTTGCTTAAACACTCACAAGGACAGTGGGGCACAACTTTAAGGTTTTTTTTTTTTTTAAGCAGGACAGGATTTGACTGGCATGACTGGAATTACTCATTCACTCTGGGAACTGTTTGACTCTCACTGTATAACATTTATCACTTTTGATTGCTAACTTTTAAAAATTTGTCTGTCTAACTCATTGCTCTGTGGGTGCAGACACATGTTTTGGAGTCTGAGTCTGAGAGACAAGAATAGCAGATTGACGGCATGGACTTAAACACATCTCTTGTTTTTCGTGGCAGTTAAAGGTAAGTTTGGAGAAAAATATACTTTTTCATGTTTTATCCAGTATGTCAGATTTGGTCTTGCAGCACAGTCTGTTGAATGCAGAGTTACATTCTGTAAAACAAGTAGTCTGGCTGTAACCCAGTTAATCATCCATTCATTCATTAGATAGGAGACTGTCCTGTCCTTTGTCCTATGATTCAAATTCCAATAACACTGTGTCTTTATGGGTTTGACAACCAGCTCTATTAATAGGGTGATAAATCAGCTCCTCAATGACCTGGTTTGTTTGTCTTCAAATAGAAACCAAGATGATCTGTCATGTTAGCCTCTCACAAGATACCGTTTTACATGCTGACGTTCTCCTCTGTAGTGATTTAGAGCACAGAATATCACATAATCCCTCTTTTTCTTTTCTGTTCCAGGGACAACCAGACTTATCTTTGCTGTACATTGCTATCTTAGTCTTTCAAGTGTATATGAGATACAAAAAAAAGCCACAAAAAAAAATAGAGCAGATGAAAATCATGGGCCTTAGCTTCCAAAGGGCGTCATTCATCGCATCAATTATAAGTAGTTTTTACTTGTGTCTTCGTCTTGGAGGGCCAGCATATGACAAAGATTGCTGACACCAGCAGAAGAGACTCTATCGTCTTCTGTAAAAGCGACCGCCCAGTTACAAATTGCAACTCTCCTCTTCTGCCATTTTTATATTTAGAACCTACGTTTTGTGAATAGTTGTTAACTGGGTTTTGAGTCCTTAAAGTTGGTGAACATATTTTGTAGGTCATTTGTCAGGTTGATAAGCATGTATGGAAGTTAGAAAGACTTGATAGCCTCCAGTAAGATTAATTTGGAAGATTGTATCAAGAAGAGGAGTGCCATCTTAAACTATCTGGGGCCCAACTGTTCATTCCTCAAGAGGAGGCAAAATGTCAAGACCTCCATCCTCACAGACCACCCCCCAGTTCCACAGAGTCAGTGAAAGAGATCTTACAGAGATCGAGCTTCACTCTGTGGACTCCATCAATGACCTCCACAGAACACACCCTGAACACAGCCAAAAAGGTACACACACACACACACGCGCGCACGCACGCACGCACACCTTTCACACAATCAAAAAGGTACACCTGCACCTTTAACACAACAAGGTACTCACACACACTTTTTTCACAACTTAACAGGTACAGGCATACCTTTAAAGCAATCAAGAAAGGAACACACTGCTTTAATGCTACCAAAAAGATATATGTCCACCTTTAACACAAACAAAAAGGTACTCACACATTTAATGCAACTAAAAAAGTACACACACTTTTAACACAGTCAAAAAGGTACATGCACCTTAAACACATCCAAAACAGTACACACACGCTTTGAGCACAAGAGTTAAGGTGGACACAGTAAAATAAACAAAAAGGTATATACACAGAACACAGCCAATAATGGATATGCACACTATCCAAACGCAGCTAAAAACTGACATACATTCTGAAAACGGCCCTAATGTACACGCTTACTGTTTACACAGCTAAAAATGCAAATACAGCTACTCATAACACACTTAAAAAGTAACACACACACACACACACACACACACACACACACACACACACACACACACACACACACACACACACACACACACACACTTAGAAGATGGCAAAATGATACTCCAACACTCCTAAAACAGCCAAAAGATACATACACACTCCAAAACTGGCAAAAAATTTCTAACACAGTTTCTCAACACAAGTAAATGTGCATGCATCTAAAAACTGCCTCAAGAGAGAACAGAAAACAGGCATAAGCTGCACATTTACACACATTTATACATACATGCAAGAACTTTTTTGATCCACAAAGTGAAGTTTGTTTGTCTGGAATCTTATGCCATCTATTATTTATAGAAGGTTTTAAAAAAAAGTCTAATGGCTGTCAGTACAAAAAATCTCCTGAATCTCTTCATCTTGCAGCAAAGAGAGAGGAGCCATCGACTCCAGGTTTTTTTTTAACACATACACAGTACAAAATAATAGTTATGGTTCATAACTTGAAACTTTAAAGAAATGATTCATACATAGCCAAAGTATACACTCACCAACATGGTAACACAAAATGCTAAGACAGCACATAATACAAAACAACCCCCCCCCCCCCCCCCATCCAGCATAGCAGAGATACACTGGCCAAAATATACAAAGAGCACAAGCACAACAGAGACTTTTTCAACACTTTGACTCTTGTTTGTGTGATTTCAGGGGTTAGGCCTCCTCGTCCTGCTTACTCACCATCTCTCAATGGAAATCTCTTCACCTGTGATATGTCAGCTGTTAATCAAAGACGCCGTCCAGTCAGCAGCAAATGGCAGACCCGTCTACAGGACATGTTAACACCAAGTTCATCCCATGCTTATGCTATGGGCTGTGCCATCATCACCTTGCTTCTCTTAACAGTGTTTCTCATCTTCTATTTTTTGGGTAACATAGATTCATTTTTTAAAAATAATATTCAATGAAAATTCCTGTTTCACTTCACCTATTTTGCTTTCCGGTTTCCGGTTCATAATGCATTTGTGATTCTACATGAAACTGTTTTTCAGTTAATTTTCTCCTTCAAGTTTTGTCATGTAATAGAAAGATACGTGAAGACTCCATGAACCCAAACCATGTTTAGTGTGACTGAAAACTCAGTGTTGTCTTTGTCTATTTCTCCTCCAGTCCAGCAGGGTGGAGCAGTCCAGATGCTGACAGAGGCAGTGAGGGAGAAAGAGGAAACAGCCAAAGAGCTGTCACTACTGATCCAAGAACTGCAAGCACTCAGAAAAAACCTGACAGTCATGAGAGGGGGGTCATGAGGAGGTTGCATGGACACTTTAACATGCAACATTCATGATATCATAGAGAGACTCTGTAGAATGAAGTAAACTGTGGATTATTCCATGAAGAGGAAAGATTTGTCAAACAAATCCTCATACCTTTTTCATAACTAAATGTAACCATGTAACGGGATGGTGTGCATGAACATGTTGGATGGTTTGTGACAACTTTTCTTCTCCAATGGTCACACAAAAGACCTCTCACTGCACTCTGTTTGTCCTACAACAGAACTGTCATGACAGCTGTAAAGCCGTTTGGATTAAATGAAAGGAGACAGAATATCTTGTGTCACACTAGATGTCTTTATGTGACACTCAAGATATAAAGGTCTACCAGCTGTTTTAATTTTACACTGCCTCTAACTTACTTAAGTGTAGTTTATTCAACATGGTGCATCATGGTGGACTGAAAAATACTTTGCAGGCTTTGATCCTCACTTAAAACAATAAAAACAAAAAAAGCCTATACTTGTCTCCTTGTATTATCCATATTTTCTTCATTTATGATTGCTTACCCTTTCTCTTAGTTTACTGATTTCCATGACAGAATGACATCTTCTCAAATTAACATGGTTTTCATCTTTAAGGGACTGTAAGGAGTTTTAAAATGGCTAAAAACTGACCAAAATTAAGACTGTTGACTCCTTATGATCTTCAGAAGCAAACCGGATCAGCAGCAACAAAGCTGGTCGTTTCTCTGTTTAAATTTTTATTGTCTAAAAACTGCAGTAAGGGGGTAAATGTCAGACCACACAACCGATGAACAACTTGATTAACAAGCTGATAAAACTGCTTTTAAAAAACATTTTCTGTAATGTTTACTCATGTTAAGTGAAGTCTTTTAACTATTTGCAGACAGAAGGATAAGTCCCGTGATGGGAAATTGACACAAAATTAAAAATATCAAAGAAGTTGTGCTTTAAAGTTTTATTTATTGAAGTATTTGGATTGTGTTAAATCATTAAATGTGGCAGCCAAGCAACTATGCATGACAGATTGTATTATTTATTGTAAAATATTTTTATATAAATATTTATTGTACAGACCAACAGAACCTTAACAGAAAAGTTGAGGTTACTTATTCTTCTTTGTTGTATCCACCTTTTCCTTGCACTCTTGTCCAGTCCAGCCCGGATAGCAAAGACACATAAAGTGTTTCATTTGATTTGGGGCAGATGTTATAAAGAGCATGCGACCTGAAGTTGGGTGCTGCCTGGTGCAGCGTCCATTGCCATGGCAAAGCTGGAGACTGCAGCGCCGGGTGTCAGACTTCAGAGACAGGATGAATGGACCCAAAACAGTGTGAACATAGTCTCTGAGCAGGACGCACTGATGCTGGATGGTGAAGGAAGAAAAAAAGGTTACACACAAACCCTAGCAAACATAGCTGTATAACTTACCAGCAAACATATGACATACCATGGACTTGGCAAATTTCATCTCTCCCCACAGCACCACTCCAGCAGCCCCCAGTGCTGCGCTCTCTCCCAGTGTGTGCTCCAAGTCTGTCTGCACATACAAGCAAACACTTTGAATGGCATATTTGAGTTAGCAAGTGTGTATGTTTTGATGAGTCAACACAAACCTTATTTAGAAAGGTGAGAGTGTGTGCAAATGTTAGCCTGGCATAAGGCAGAACAGGTGTAGCATGATTAGTGTTGTTGCCATGGCGCCAAACTGATGCCACTCTCAAGGCCTCCAGCAGTCTATATCTGAAATAAAAGAAAATACCCGTCAGTAGTTACCTTATTACCTTCTGTCAAGTATTGAATTCACAGCTATACCTGTGTCTACAACCATTATTACTGTTTACAAAACATACGAGATGCAGAACACAATATTTGAGGCGATTTAAAAACAGTGTAATAAAGCTATTTTGCCAACATAGTAACCTAATACAACATTCTCAGCACTGTCTGCAGCACATGTTGCTGAGAATCACTGCTGAGCAGACACTGCTGTATGCTAGTGTTGGTTACAAGAAGTTAATAAAGACTGATATCCTTCAAAAAAGAGCAAAGTAAGGGTAAACACATTTTCACTCTAGCTAAAAAAAATTACCTGATTTGGTCAGTAATTAACTGACAAGTTAAAACACTTTTTTTACATTTAGTTTAACTATCAGTTTTTATAAATAAAGCAATTTGTTGTGAGAGAGCTTCAATTTACTGTACCTGACCATCAGAGCTGCATCCATGGATCCTGCCAGCCTCTGTGGAAGATAAATACTGGGATACAGAGCAGTGGACTGATGCCACAGCCAGGACAAATGGTCATTTTGTTGTTTGGTCCCAGAGTGGCAGCGTCCTGTGTACTTTTCATCTGATTACACAAACATAAAACAAGGAAACAGCTTTGTCAGTTCTAAAAGTATTTTTTAAAAATTAACTATTGAACAGCCTGTAGAGATTTTTTGAGCTTTTACTCTACACTTTATCATTGAATTATAATGAAAATATTTTGTTCAATCTCCATTAAAGTTATCTCTAAAGAAATTTCTCCTTGTACATGATAATTGCATTAATCATAAATGGTATAAATGGGGATGTAGCCATTGTGGCATCAACAGTTGGTTTGTGAACTTTTGAAACCTGAAATCTCAACAATTAATGAGACTATGTTTTGACAGCAAGTAAATTTGCTACCTATAAATGTCTCTGGATTTATAGGTAGCCATAAGGGCAGCAATCACAGGCAGAAACATCCTAAAGTGAACCTTGTTTTATCCCTAATTTAATGAATGAGATTAAATAATAGTGTTTGGGTCCATAAACTCATTAGGGACAATTTAAATGAAGTTTCAAATCAAAAATGCACTAGGTCATTTTCTGATTGGACCTTTTTCTGTAACCAGTCTCCCCCTGCTGGTCATTTGAAGGCATAAAGGCTTAAGGCACTTCAGCAAGAGGCCAAACATCTTCCTCTTATCTACAAACTACCATCCCATCACTCAATTTGCTTCATCCATAAAGTGTTTCTCTTACCCGTCCTTCTCTTGTGCCTATTATAGCACGCAGGAAAACCATAAAAACCCCAGAGACCCTTGGGTCGATCCCTGAGAGCCACCCGAAGCGTTTCCTCCATAAACCTCTGAGCACTCCTCTCAAACTTCAACCTTGCCATGGTTTTCCTTGCTCTCTTTGACAAATCAGGTCTCTTCTTCTTCACCAGCGCCTTGGACAGTCTCCGGTACTCCATCTTGGATCCCCAGTTTCTCTCCCATATTGGCTGCCACTCCTCCCAGTCAATGACAGCCAAACCCTTAAAGTCTGGATTCATCAGGCTGGATATTTGTGCCACTGCGAGAGAAAGATGAGCTGACCGGTTGCCAAGCTGAGGTATTCCTCCATTCACCCTCCTCCCATCTCTGGAGAGGTAGGGATACTTTCCCAGGTGATCCCGGTAGAAGATGGTCATATTCTAGATAAAAATGCCCATAGAAAATGGTCAAAAACTTTGCATGTAGGACATTTTAACCTGGACTGAAAACGAAGCCTGCAATTCCATTGACCCTCTCTAACAGAAGCAGTCAAATTTCTGCACTAATATCTGATTACCCCATGATACAATGGCTCACCGAACAGCAAAGACAATGAATGTTTAAAATATGTTGTCTCTTTTAAGGCCAGATACCTATCTGAGGAGTCAACCACAACCGTGTAAGGCTATAAAAAATATGCGAGACAGTGTATCTCTGTAGTTGCTGTGGTTTGTTTGAGCTCTTCTGCCTCAGTCATACAATATATTGTAAAAAACAAACAAAAACAAACAAACAAACAAACAAACAAACAAACAAAACGTAAAGATACTTTGATTAGAAATGAGAATATTAAGCAATGTCCCAGAGCTATGGTGCCTTCAAGGACAAGAAGCTCCTGGAATGCATGATAACTGTGAATCTCCATTTGCAAAGTTTCTTACCATCAGAAACATAGATCAATATAGAATACAACCTGATGTTGATATTTTGAGCTTTGAAATGTTTGGATTTGCTGCTTTCCTTTAATTCGAATAAAATAAAAAAGAATGCTTAATTGCTATCTAAGTAAAAATACAACAGTAAGGTACTTCATAGCAACTTATTCATATTATAAAACCATACAAACAGACACAATTGATCAAGAAGCTGCTGCTTGGGTGCAGCTGCTTTTTGCTCTCTAGTATGGAGCTTAGTTTGAATTTGTTTTCTGATTAAAATGTTAATTTTTTCTGGTATTGATGGATAAATTAACCATTAATCGGCATAGAAACTATACTGTTAAATAAGGTTACATTTACACCAAACACAACCCACTTCAGCACTTCGATCTGCTTTCACATCAATGCATAAATAATAATTCAATGATACTCCCCCTTGGGTGGATATTTTCTACTTTATATACTTTAAACATATTTTTTCCTGTCAATACTTGCACAGTATTTAGTACTCTTGATTTTCATTAAATTCACAATTCCCTGGCTTTATGTGATTGGTAACACCAAACTTTCCCCATAGAGCCCGGTCACCTGTCCCTGGAAGCGCTGTTGTCGGTTCTCCACAATGTTGAAGTCGTTCAGGTTCAGGTAGATGTTGTAGCGCTCCTCACAATGAGCTGTGGGCATGTTCCACACCACAACGAAGGGCTGCTCCTGTAGGATTGGACCTGCTGCAGCCACCATGGGCAGGGGGCTTCCACAGAAAGAAGAACCATTGGAGAAGGTGTTCGGAAGAGAAGTGCACAATGGGAGAAAGGAGGGGAGGAGGAGGAGGAAGAGGAGAGAGGGGAGAGGCAGGTGAGGCTGCACCATGATAGCTGCTCACCCACAGATGTGTCATCCTGACAGAAGAGACAAACAGGTTGGTGGAACCTTTTGCAGTGGAACTAACTTAAATGCCAAAATTGACCAAAATATGAACAGGAAGTTAGGTGGCAGTTTGACCTCTTGAGATGATTCAACCATATTCAAAGAGGAAAAATCCAGATATGTTGTAAAACAGAAAAAAATGAACACATGGCAAAGGCAACTTCTCGCTGAATCATCTTTATTTCCATATTTTCATAACTAAAACAAACACATAACATAAAGTTCAGCAGCAGTTCAGTAAGGCACATTCAAACCTCCAGTGTGGTGTTACTGTGTCACATCACTTAACAGCAGGACACAAACTGGATTTCAATCATACTGCTGAGAAGTAAAGCTGCTCTAAAGGAAAGATTCTTTTGTGGTTCCCTGGATTTGGCAAAAAAAAAAAAAAGGTTCTGGATAAGCTGTATAGCTTTACAGTTAACCCGTACATGTAAACTGCTGTCACACTTGACAGGCTTGTTGTGTAACAGCTGCTTTGAAAAATAACTTATGACAAAATGTTTCTTGGAATATGTGTGTATGCGCACACGCGAGAAGATCACAAGTTACCACTTACACACAGCTAAGACCCAAATTCAAACTGAGTATAAAGTCACAAAATTTTAACATTTGCAAAACAAAACTTAGGTGAGAACATGAAATCTTGTATCAGCAGCTGACTGTGGAAAACTCCATTTAGTGTCACGCTCATACATAACTCTGTCCAGTGAACATTTAAGTGAGGCAGAAAACAGAGTTATGTGCAGTTCATCTGAAAATTCCTGATGCATGCTTTCATAGCATCAGATGTATCTCTGATTTATGGAGATGCCTGGACCAAGAACTGAATAACGATTGGAATAACGATGGAACTCCAAACACAAACACAGTTCGATTTACAGCCTTGTTTTGTTATCTAAACTTTGTTTCAGAATCATGGGCAAACAACCACCAACCTCATTTAATTTAGTTTCAGAAAAATACAAATCAAGATGCTATGTAATGCTGGCTAAAGTCAAAAGTGTTCTAAATCTCATATAGGTGTTAAATGGTGTTCTTCGTTTCCTGGTCTGTATAATACAGACATGTAACGTCACAGTTTTAGATGGTCATACTAATCTCTAGCAAAGTTTCATAGCATGAGATACTCAGATGTTTTTTGGCTGCATTGAACAGCTCATAGGGACACTCTGCCTCAACCAAAGGACGAACCCATCCAGAAGCTTTGTCAAGAGCAACCCAGAGGCTGAAAGTGCATTACACAGTCTGAGCTTTCCTCCAAGTTGTGAAGGAAAGGCAAAGCTGTTCTCTCTTCCTAAAGATGAAGGTATCTTGTAAACAAGTACTGAAGTTTAGCAAAACTGACATTACGAAAACCTGGGTTGCTCCATCTATGAAGAAAGACCGTCCATGAAGCCTTGGAAACACAAGCTAAAAGTATGTAACAAAAGCTAAAACTGCCACCGCCTAATGACTGGCTGAGACCATTTTCACAGAGGCGTACAGTCCGGGGCTTTTTATGACTACAAAGCAGTAGACTATAAAACCCACTAGCTGTGAAAAAAAAAACAACGAAATGAAGTGTTTCAGGAAGGGGGTTGTGCAGTGGTGGTAGGTGGGTTTTCACAGGTGCCTGTATAAGATAATCGAGGATTTATTTTGGGCTGCAAATCACAAAAATCTAAAACAAAGGTGTCCCAGGCTGACACAATATAAGGGTAAAAATGAGTCCAATGGGTCTCATTTAAAGGTTGCAGAACAAGACTCCTCTGGCCCAAATTCAAGTGTCTGTATGACAGGAACATATAGAAAAAGTGAATGGATTTGATTGTCTGGTTTCTCTTAAAGACTGTTATCGTGTGCTTATAGGTCCTACAGATGGTTCTGTGTTACACTATGTGTTCATACGGACTCAAATTATGTAGCTGTGTGCAGAAAGATGCATGTAAGTGTATGTCAAATGTTTTTATGCATCCAGAAGATAGGGACTCCTTTAGCATCCCTGTAAGGAGTTTGAGTCAGAGTCTGAACTACAGGCTGACCTGCAGGCTGAGGAGGAGGTGGAGGAGGACATGGGATTGAAGGAGGGGGTGGTGGAGGAGGAGGGGGAGGAGTACAAGGAGGAAGAGAAGGGGGGCGAGGTGGTGGTATGGAAGAAGGGGGAAGTGGTGGAGGGACTGAGGGAGGTGGTGGGGGGCGTGGAGGTGAACTACAAGCTTTAGGAGACACTGGTGAGATTTGGGCCCCCATCATTGTCCCCATTCCTCTCTGCGTGTCCCCTTCTTCCCTCGGCATCCTGGAGAACCTTAGGAGCATCTCCATGGGAACAAACGCTGTCATGGCACCTGCATTCTGCACTGGTGTTGACAGCATGTAGCCGAGGTGGGCGTAGAAGTGCTGTTTATCATGTGTGGTCAGGCACAGGCGCTTGAACCCTCTACTTTTAGCATAACTCTCCACCTCCTCCATCAGAGTCCGTCCATAGCCCTTCCCTCGCTCTGCCTTAGACACAACCACAGACTCAACAAACAGGCTGCTGCCGTGACCTACGACCCGGGAAAGCCTGGCATGTCCCAACAGGCGTTCTGTCTCTTTGTGGCCCTGCAGGAGAATCAGACAGACAGGGAACTCGGGACAGGACTTCTGGAGTGAGTGGACTCGAGCAGCCTGGCTTCTCTGCCACTCAGCGTTGACAAGGTCTGCACAGGGAACCAGCAGGTCTGGACGCCGATGGATTGGAAGTGCACGGATCTTATCTGGTTGAGTGTCAGTATAGAGCTTTTCTTTAACCTCTTTATCCAGTGTTACAGTCTCACAGACTTGCCCGACGTGCTGCATCTCTTGGTGTGATGTTAAGTTGTGGCCAGGATCCAAATTGAGCTCTCCTCCACTCTCCGGTTTGGATTTGGTTGATATAAAAGGTTCAGACCTGCGGTGATCAGGGTTTAACTCAAAGTCAGTCTATATATAACTCCTGTGGGTACTGTAAGTGTATGACATATAAACTTATGTTTGTAAAAAAAAAAAAAAGCATGTGGTTCCTCCGTGTATGTGGTTTGTCTGATAACTTTCATACCTCTGCAGTACACAAGAGTAACCCCGAACCAGGATGCTGGTCAAGCAGGTAGCTAACAGTAGATCCTAAGCCCAGCATGGCTATAAACAGAGACCCATGCAGGAGCACCAATAACACTCTAATTTCTCTTCTGTTTTCTCTTCAACACTTACAGCCTGCCTCTCCTGTGTGTCTGGATGATACTGGGATCCTGGACAAGATGTATTTGTAGCTCAGATGTACATGCCTTGTGCATGGACAATTGACTACCGCATGAAAGGAAGGGGCCAGTGTTCATTTGTTTTGTTTTGTTTTTGCCTGCTGGAGCTACCTTTTTCATTCTGATGTAATTGAGGTCTGGAATTAATATGTTTGGAAATTGCATGACTTTTCTTCCTTTTCAGCACATTATAGGTAAGTTTCTACAGCCACTATGTTGGAAAAGAACAAAACCCTGCCACTTTTCGATGGATGGAGCAGTGAACAAATCAGATAGAATATGCACGTTGTGTTGAACTGCATTAAATTATCCCCAAAGTACTCTGAGCTTGAGCTACCAGCTAGAAGTGAAGCATACAGGTACAGCTCATTAGTATGTTGGACAACCAGACCACTAAAGCCAGAACGGCACTTTTCTGGAGTGCGCCAACTGTCACAGACCTTTGGCTTGAATCAAAGTGATGCCTTGAGTTTGGGATGACTCAGGGATCACTCCGGAACCTGTATGAAACGGAGACAGCAACTCAGCTGAAACTCCTAAAAAGTGCTGAGGACGTTGCATTAACTGGGGATCACAGGATATTGGTGAGTTATCCAAATAATCCCAGAATGCCTGCACACCGTAATGACACTAATAAGACTCCTATATGATTTAAAGACAGATACTTCAAAGGACAAGCACTTAGAAGCTGTTTCCTGTCTATCCGTCATGGTGTCAGACCACACTAGTGTAGCAGCGCAGAATTTGTCCAGATTAAAAAGTACATTTTGTTGAATTGTCTGGTTTAAATGTACGACGGAGTATTAGGGCCACATTAAGAAAAAAAAAAAAAGGAAGGCCGTAATTACTTACGAGAATAAAGTCGTAATAAAATCATTACTTACGAGAATAAAGTTGTAATAAAGTAATTACTTACAAGAATAAAGTTGTAGCTAATAGCTATTCTAACCTGTTGTTAGTTGTTTAAATGAGCGCTGTGGAGCATTTAGATGAATTATACTTCAGTAGCTAGGTTTCACAAACAAGGAGGTACTAAATGCTTTGGTGTTTCAGCATCACATTGTCAGAAGTATCAGGACATTAAAAAGAATATGCAAGAAATGCATCTTTTCTGCAGAAAGAACCAGGCGGACTTGTGGGGAATCACTGTTTTTGAGGAGGGGGAAATGGCTGGAAATTGCTGTGCAGAGGCTAAATCCGTCAATGCAACTGTTTTTAGCAATAGCGTATGGCTTTAGTTTATCGAATGAATCTATTTGCCATAAGGTGTTGGTGCCTCTGCAAGTGTAGGTTGCTGCTGGTGTTGTGCCTGCATCAGAGATAGACGCAGTGCTCGTCGACTCCCTCTGAATCGCAAAAGTTGATCATCAGTTGGATTGTTTCTTGATAAACCACAAAAGCCCTCTGAATAACCCACTGATGCACCCATAGATAACTCTGCAGTTGACCAGTTCCAGTCATTTCCTCCTTCATAAAAGCAGCTTTATGACTTAATTTACTTCACGACTTTAATCTCATAATGATTTTATTACGATTAAAGATTTTATCAGGACTTTTCTCTATTATGGCTTTATTCTCGTAAATAAAGATTTATTACGACTTTATTCTCCTTAGTAATGACTTTAATCATGAAGTCTCAATTGTTTTTTCTTAATGTGGCCCTAATATTCCGTTGTATAAATGAGATACTGATCAGATTTTATTATAAATGTTAATTTAACCTTTTAAATAATAAAATTATGACATTATTCAGTTAATCAAGAACTAATAATGATCCATCTAGCTAAAGGCAGGGGGTCAGGGCTGCTGGTGTAAGAATTCAGCTGGACAAAGTACAAATACTAGAAATCTGGGCTTTTTTCATTTGCTGACATAAACTTACACAATTATAGTAACTGCATACGTGAAAAGAAAGAAAAAGACTTCAACATCAAAAATACTAACTGGAGCCTGGTATACTTGAGCCTTTTAGGTTCATGTGGACCCTGGTTTGTCCCAGAATGAACACCAAACGCGGAAGATTTAGGCAACAACACAGCCTCCTTAGGTTCGTCTTTGAATGAAGTTCAAATATTTTGTCTCACAGACACGAAGCTGGCTCAGTAGTGTCACCTGGATAACACTTTTGTGTTTCGGTACGTTACGAGAACAACAGTCAGCAGCATGGAACCTGAGACTTCATGTCCATCACAGCTGTGTTATTCAATCTACCAGCACAGCGGGGTTGTAAGTGCTGATACATAATGAGCACAAACGTCCTTCCTCAGCTGTTAACCACAGCTTTTACACACACACACACACACACACACACACACACACACACACACACACACACACACACACACACACACACACACACACAAAAAGTCATTCTGTCTTCGCCTTGTATGAGACATTTCGTCAGGCTGCATGTTTTCACACTTACAATGTAAGGTTCTGCTGAGTTGGGTCACAAATATTTAGGACTGCTAACAGTCATGATTCTGTTTTTTTGCTTTACACTGTTGCTGGTAAAACAGCTACAGACTGCTTTCCACAGAATTACTACACTGGGAGGACACTCAAAAGGATTGGGACAGAGTTGATCACCTGAAAAGTTCCTCCTGGATTTAGGTGGTAAAATGACAGATTGCTAGCTAGTGCTTGGCACAGTTACTCACTCTTTGTATATACAACATCCTTTTTACCTCTGACCATTTGTACTTGGGCTGTCAAAATAGTTGAATAGTTTCTGTCTCGCTTTTTTGAGCATTAACTACAGGGTTGTATGTATGTTGTCTCACCAGTTTGAATAGGGAAGTTGTCTTTCTCTAACACTTCTCACCACATAGTTTCGAGAAGAGGATGAATTGTAAATGCGGAGAGAACACATTCTTCTGCAAATATACAAAGTCTATAATATTTTAATAAAAAAGATTTTATATTTGCCAATTTTTGCCATTTCAAAGCCTACAAACTGTGAAAATGATGTATTCATGCAGCAGCCTCTTATTTTCTCACACATATCCAAACACTATCAAAGTAAAGTTGGTACACAGCATCAGCAACAAAATGATAGGAGACTGACGTGGTCATGAGTTTGAATGCCAAGTAGTTATTTTTTCTTAAAATTTGTTTTGATCCAAACAGTCCAATAACAATAAACTTTAAACATGGTAGCCTTTGCGAAAAAGAAAATTCAAGAAGAGATAAAGTAACTCACCAAGAGAGGAGAGCTGAAGTCAAAGGCTTGGGTGTCAAACAACTATGAACTTGTTACCGCATATTCAACTCAATTTCACACACTTACAACACGTCAAAAATGGGGATGCTACGAGGATGCAAGAGGAAACAGAGAGTTAACTGATCTTCACATAAAATATTTCAAAAACACCATACTTCAAAAAAAAAAAAAAAAGGCTGCAATAAAATTGTAAGACACAGATATAACTAATTTGATAAAGACTTTAATCGTCAGTCATCAGTGTATTTGATTCTATTAGTCTAGCGGGAATATGCTGATTTTTGAGGCTATAGTGCAAATGGTGATACAAGCATGAAATTTGCTACAGATATCCTTTATACCACTGCTAATCATAATATAACCTCTGGCCACCTGGGCAGCGCCATTTTTCATGATGCCCGCAAGCTTTTAGAAATGGCTGTCACCAGGTCAACGTTTTGGACTGTATCATTTTGCTGCAGCTATAAAACTTACACATGCCCTCATTTTAATTTATGATAATGTTTTAGGTATTTATTCCAATTAAACATAAGATATTAGGTTCCAATATGGTGGCAAATTTCCAATATGACTGCCGATAAATAGCAGAAATATACTGCAGTTCATGGTTAAGCCATAAGAGCATGCAGCACATAGTTGTATTTATTTCCATAGATAGAATCAATTTATGATGACACCTTTAAAGTGATTTGTTTGCATTTTAGTGACATAGGTACCATGACCCAGACCAGCACGCCCAGGTAGAACCCACATATGTTTCACGGTGGGCTTCCTATATGGGAAGTTCATGGGATACACTTGGTTCCCACTTGGGCTGTCCATGTGGGTACTGACTGGGCCCTAGGTGGGTAGTTTTTTTGTTAGGGCCCGAGCCAGCTGCAGAGCAGCCGGGCGTAGAGCCCTATTATTCCTGTATAGGTTTTTCTTTCTTCTTTCTTTCTTTCTTTCTTTAGGGCCCGAGCCAGCTGCAGAGCAGCCGGGCGTAGAGCCCTATTATTCCTGTATAGGTTTTTCTTTCTTCTTTCTTTCTTTCTTTCTTCTTATTTTTCCTCCCCTTTGAAGGGGAAAATGGCCCACTTCCCACTGGCGAAAACTCATGAAATTTGGCAGGACGACCGGGCCTGGTGAAAAATTCGATATTCTGAAGTCGCCCAAACAATAAAATGCAAAATGGCTCCATAGCGCCCCCTAAGGCGAAAATTCACACTATTGACTGTCACGCCTGTACGCTTTGTCATATTGACACAAAAATTGACACACACGTGTATCTCAATACGGTCTACGAAAAAGTCAGCGCGGGCGCATCTGTGAAATGTATGGTTAGAGGGTTATTTCGCATTTTTGCCGATCTGCACACATTGGAATTTCGCTAACTCCTCCGAAGGCATTCGTTCCACCGGCACCACATTTGCTCAGGCCAATCTACACCCCATGGCCATTAAAAGTTGTACAAATCATGACGCTGCACCCCACGGTTTACGTTCTAGGGGGCGCCAAAGATAACCCTAAAATCCACAGTCTTAAAAGTCTTATAACTTTTTATTTTTGTCCTCACTGGCCTCCAAGTTCTCTAGGATGATGCAATGTCCAGCCATCACCACATTTGTGAAGGAATTTTTACTCCCCAAAAGAGCGCCCCCACATGGCAGGAGAAAAAAGTCCATTTTTTCTTGTCCCCTAAGGTGAAAATAACACATTGTTGAGTGTCACGCCTATACGCTTTGTCATATTGACCCAAAATTTGACAATCACGTGTATCTCAATAAGATCTACGAAAAAGTCAATGGGCACGTATCTGTAAAATGTACGGTTAAAGGGTTATTTCGCATTTTTTCCCGATCCGCACACATTGGAATTTCGCTAACTCCTCCGAAGGCTTTAGTTCCACCGCCACCAAATTTGCTCAGGCCAATCTACACCCCATGGCCATTAAAAGTTGTACAAATCATGACGCTGCACTCCACGGTTTACGTTCTAGGGGGCGCCAAAGATAACCCAAAAATCCACATTATTTAAAGTCTTATAACTTTTTATTTTTGTCCTCACTGGCCTCCAAGTTTTCTAGGATGATGCAATGTCCAGCCATCAACACATTTGTAAAGGAATTTTTACTCCCGAAAAGAGCGCCCCCCCATGGCAGGAGAAAAAAGTCAATTTTTTCTTGTCCCCTAAGGGGAAAAAACACATTGTTGAGTGTCACGCCTATACGCTTTGTCAAAATGACACAAAATTTGATACACACGTGTATCTCAATAAGATCTACGAAAAAGTCAATGGGCACGTATCTGTAAAATGTACGGTTAAAGGGCTATTTCGCATTTTTTGCCGATTCGCACACATTGGAATGTGGCTAACTCCTCCTAAGGCTTTCTTTCCACCGACACCAAATTTGCTCAAGCCGATCTACATCCCATGGCCATTCAAAGTTGTAAAAATCATGCCGCTGCACCCCATGGTTTACGTTCTAGGGGGCGCCAAAGATGACCCTAATATCCACATTCTTAAAAGAATCCACATCCCCCCCCCCCCCCCCCAAGGCAGGAGAAAAAGTCAAGTTAACCCTGCCCATCGCTCAATGGCTCAACGCATCGCTCTCCTGGCAACACCGTAAGGAGGAGCAACTTGCCATTTGGATATATCCTAGCTGTGTTTGTGCCCTCACTCATGGTCCACACTTTTTTCAAATAGGACATGTAGTTTGTCTGCAGCGACCGTTTTGGTAGAAACTGCGCCTCCCATTCATTATAATGGGAAATGACCACAGACAAGTGCGCACACCATCTTTGGACCTTGAGTGTGATGCGATCGGGAGGGGGAGGCGGTCGCGCTGGGGGCGGCGCGACGCGGCTCGGGCCCGACAGTGCCCCACCGGGGCCCTAGTCTTATTTTTCCTCCCCTTTGAAGGGGAAAATGGCCCACTTCCCACTGGCGAAAACTCATGAAATTTGGCAGGACGACCGGGCCTGGTGAAAAATTCGATATTCTGAAGTCGCCCAAACAATAAAATGCAAAATGGCTCCATAGCGCCCCCTAAGGCGAAAATTCACACTATTGACTGTCACGCCTGTACGCTTTGTCATATTGACACAAAAATTGACACACACGTGTATCTCAATACGGTCTACGAAAAAGTCAGCGCGGGCGCATCTGTGAAATGTATGGTTAGAGGGTTATTTCGCATTTTTGCCGATCTGCACACATTGGAATTTCGCTAACTCCTCCGAAGGCATTCGTTCCACCGGCACCACATTTGCTCAGGCCAATCTACACCCCATGGCCATTAAAAGTTGTACAAATCATGACGCTGCACCCCACGGTTTACGTTCTAGGGGGCGCCAAAGATAACCCTAAAATCCACAGTCTTAAAAGTCTTATAACTTTTTATTTTTGTCCTCACTGGCCTCCAAGTTCTCTAGGATGATGCAATGTCCAGCCATCACCACATTTGTGAAGGAATTTTTACTCCCCAAAAGAGCGCCCCCACATGGCAGGAGAAAAAAGTCCATTTTTTCTTGTCCCCTAAGGTGAAAATAAACATTGTTGAGTGTCACGCCTATACGCTTTGTCATATTGACCCAAAATTTGACAATCACGTGTATCTCAATAAGATCTACGAAAAAGTCAATGGGCACGTATCTGTAAAATGTACGGTTAAAGGGTTATTTCGCATTTTTTCCCGATCCGCACACATTGGAATTTCGCTAACTCCTCCGAAGGCTTTAGTTCCACCGCCACCAAATTTGCTCAGGCCAATCTACACCCCATGGCCATTAAAAGTTGTACAAATCATGACGCTGCACTCCACGGTTTACGTTCTAGGGGGCGCCAAAGATAACCCAAAAATCCACATTATTTAAAGTCTTATAACTTTTTATTTTTGTCCTCACTGGCCTCCAAGTTTTCTAGGATGATGCAATGTCCAGCCATCAACACATTTGTAAAGGAATTTTTACTCCCGAAAAGAGCGCCCCCCCATGGCAGGAGAAAAAAGTCAATTTTTTCTTGTCCCCTAAGGGGAAAAAACACATTGTTGAGTGTCACGCCTATACGCTTTGTCAAAATGACACAAAATTTGATACACACGTGTATCTCAATAAGATCTACGAAAAAGTCAATGGGCACGTATCTGTAAAATGTACGGTTAAAGGGCTATTTCGCATTTTTTGCCGATTCGCACACATTGGAATGTGGCTAACTCCTCCTAAGGCTTTCTTTCCACCGACACCAAATTTGCTCAAGCCGATCTACATCCCATGGCCATTCAAAGTTGTAAAAATCATGCCGCTGCACCCCATGGTTTACGTTCTAGGGGGCGCCAAAGATGACCCAAATATCCACATTCTTAAAAGAATCCACATCCCCCCCCCCCCCCCCAAGGCAGGAGAAAAAGTCAAGTTAACCCTGCCCATCGCTCAATGGCTCAATCGCATCGCTCTCCTGGCAACACCGTAAGGAGGAGCAACTTGCCATTTGGATATATCCTAGCTGTGTTTGTGCCCTCACTCATGATCCACACTTTTTTCAAATAGGACATGTAGTTTGTCTGCAGCGACCGTTTTGGTAGAAACTGCGCCTCCCATTCATTATAATGGGAAATGACCACAGACAAGTGCGCACACCATCTTTGGACCTTGAGTGTGATGCGATCAGGAGGGGGAGGCGGTCGCGCTGGGGGCGGCGCGACGCGGCTCGGGCCCGACAGTGCCCCACCGGGGCCCTAGTCTTATTTTTCCTCCCCTTTGAAGGGGAAAATGGCCCACTTCCCACTGGCGAAAACTCATGAAATTTGGCAGGACGACCGGGCCTGGTGAAAAATTCGATATTCTGAAGTCGCCCAAACAATAAAATGCAAAATGGCTCCATAGCGCCCCCTAAGGTGAAAATTCACACTATTGACTGTCACGCCTGTACGCTTTGTCATATTGACACAAAAATTGACACACACGTGTATCTCAATACGGTCTACAAAAAAGTCAGCGCGGGCGCATCTGTGAAATGTATGGTTAGAGGGTTATTTCGCATTTTTGCCGATCTGCACACATTGGAATTTCGCTAACTCCTCCGAAGGCATTCGTTCCACCGGCACCACATTTGCTCAGGCCAATCTACACCCCATGGCCATTAAAAGTTGTACAAATCATGACGCTGCACCCACGGTTTACGTTCTAGGGGGCGCCAAAGATAACCCTAAAATCCACAGTCTTAAAAGTCTTATAACTTTTTATTTTTGTCCTCACTGGCCTCCAAGTTCTCTAGGATGATGCAATGTCCAGCCATCACCACATTTGTGAAGGAATTTTTACTCCCCAAAAGAGCGCCCCCACATGGCAGGAGAAAAAAGTCCATTTTTTCTTGTCCCCTAAGGTGAAAATAAACATTGTTGAGTGTCACGCCTATACGCTTTGTCATATTGACCCAAAATTTGACAATCACGTGTATCTCAATAAGATCTACGAAAAAGTCAATGGGCACGTATCTGTAAAATGTACGGTTAAAGGGTTATTTCGCATTTTTTCCCGATCCGCACACATTGGAATTTCGCTAACTCCTCCGAAGGCTTTAGTTCCACCGCCACCAAATTTGCTCAGGCCAATCTACACCCCATGGCCATTAAAAGTTGTACAAATCATGACGCTGCACTCCACGGTTTACGTTCTAGGGGGCGCCAAAGATAACCCAAAAATCCACATTATTTAAAGTCTTATAACTTTTTATTTTTGTCCTCACTGGCCTCCAAGTTTTCTAGGATGATGCAATGTCCAGCCATCAACACATTTGTAAAGGAATTTTTACTCCCGAAAAGAGCGCCCCCCCATGGCAGGAGAAAAAAGTCAATTTTTTCTTGTCCCCTAAGGGGAAAAAACACATTGTTGAGTGTCACGCCTATACGCTTTGTCAAAATGACACAAAATTTGATACACACGTGTATCTCAATAAGATCTACGAAAAAGTCAATGGGCACGTATCTGTAAAATGTACGGTTAAAGGGCTATTTCGCATTTTTTGCCGATTCGCACACATTGGAATGTGGCTAACTCCTCCTAAGGCTTTCTTTCCACCGACACCAAATTTGCTCAAGCCGATCTACATCCCATGGCCATTCAAAGTTGTAAAAATCATGCCGCTGCACCCCATGGTTTACGTTCTAGGGGGCGCCAAAGATGACCCAAATATCCACATTCTTAAAAGAATCCACATCCCCCCCCCCCCCCCAAGGCAGGAGAAAAAGTCAAGTTAACCCTGCCCATCGCTCAATGGCTCAATCGCATCGCTCTCCTGGCAACACCGTAAGGAGGAGCAACTTGCCATTTGGATATATCCTAGCTGTGTTTGTGCCCTCACTCATGATCCACACTTTTTTCAAATAGGACATGTAGTTTGTCTGCAGCGACCGTTTTGGTAGAAACTGCGCCTCCCATTCATTATAATGGGAAATGACCACAGACAAGTGCGCACACCATCTTTGGACCTTGAGTGTGATGCGATCAGGAGGGGGAGGCGGTCGCGCTGGGGGCGGCGCGACGCGGCTCGGGCCCGACAGTGCCCCACCGGGGCCCTAGTTTATGTTTGTTTTTTTGTTTTTTTTGTGCTTTTAAATTCCATCATCAAGTCGCTTTGGGTCGAAGAAAATTGGCATGCAGTTCATTTTGTGAAATTCGGGAATATTGTTAGCCAATGTCGGATAATCACTGCCTGTGGCATTAGTTAACCTTTCACTGATGTTTTGTTGGCACAAACAGCATAATTCCCAATTGGTTGGACTAGATACAGGCCTACTATCTGCCTGTGACGAAGGCGTGGAGTGTATTTCTGTCTGTGTGTCCATTGCTGTTGTCAAGGCCGAAGGATTATCCTTATATACCACCTATTAAAGACAACTTACTATACTACTCTACACTTTAAAGTATGGGATACAACTGGGCTCAGATAATAACAAGATCACTATCCTACCCCCAGCCCGATCATTCATCCAATGCTATTTAATTCCTGTGTGAGCTGTACACCTTCCAGAAGACTAAAGCCCCATCTTCCTTGGCTCGGCTCTCCCGCGCTGGCACATCCTGTCAATTCAGGTGCAACTGTTTAACTTTAACTTGGGGCAAGCTAAACAGCATTTATGAAACTAGACAATTTATTTAGACAAATTTACTAGCTAGCATTGAACCCCATGCTGAGTCTCACAGCTATAGTGTCAACCAGTGTGCCCTGGTAGTGTAATGACACTACACAATATATTATTGATTTGTCATGTTATATGGTGTGGCCATTTTTAAAACAAATATGGCCTTTCATAATAGCTCATGTGTATGATATATAAATAACCCTGATCTATTATGAATAAATATATGACAAACTTCCAAACAGCAGCTATAATGACCAACAAAATACTGAATTTTTCCCATTTCTATTTCTGGGCGGCCAACTTTTAAAATGGTTGAAATCTGCTTAGCCAAAGGTTGATTCTAAAATATGGTCATATAAAGGTCATATGTACCAAATTATATGGTTGTATCACCATTTTGATCATCCTTTCAAAAATCAGCAATTTAGAGTGTGACTAGGCCGCCATATTGGATATTTGCTGCCATATTGGAACCTAATATGTTGTTTTTAATTGGTATAAATACCTAAAGCATATTATATTATTTCAAAGGTAGGGTAAATGTATGATTTATAGCTGCAGCAGAGTGATAGAGTCTAAAACGTTGACCTGGTGGCAGCTATTTCTAAAAGCTGGCGGCCATCTTGAAAAATGGCGCCGCCCAGGTGGCCAGAGGTTATATTATGATTAGTAGTGGTATAAAGGATCTCTGTACCAAATTTCATGCTTGTATCACCATTTGCACTATTATCTCATATTCCCGCTCCACTATATAGCTCAGTTGTTGATATATCAAAAAAAAAAAAAGATATTAAAGCTGAAGGGAGAGTATTTTATCAAAGCAGTATTACTGACTGTCAAGTTTGCAGGTAAATCAGAAAAAATGTTGTCTGGCCAATTTATTGACATAATGTTGTATCAAAACAAGCTGCAAAAGTCTAAGGTGAAACTGCTTACGGACGCAAAATCATAAAAATTCACGTGATTCTGCCAAAATCTCTGTCCTTTGTGGAGAGGAAGGTAATGAGGCAAAGGTAAGAATTTCCATCAATTCAACTATCACAAAGACTGTTGATACAAAATATCCACACACAATAACAAACCCTCATTTAACAATGTGTGAATATCAACCATCAAGCCATGGCAGCACAAGACGAGGCCGCTGCCACAGATGCGAGGAGATGGAGCATCTGTTGGGCTCTGAGGCATTTCAGAGGTGTAACTTAAGGAATGATGAATAATGAGACAGGCCGATAATATTGACTGATATTCAGCAGTCTTAAAATTATTGCCATCGGACGTTTTTTTCACCAATAGCCGATAAAATTAGTTTTTTTTTAAAACATGCTTGTTTGGCTCATAAACAGGCAACTCACTCTGCCTAAAGTCATAACTCGTAGATGGGTAACAATGTCCCGCCTAAAGTCACCGTTGATTGGCTACACAGACAAGGTAAAGGATGTGGAGCAATCACTTAAGGAAACCCTGGAATTTTTTTTTCTAAAAATAGATTTATTCAGCAGAAAATATCAATAAGTTCAGGAACCCAGACATACTGCACTTTCTTCTAATCCAGGGGTGGGCAATTATGTGCCATGAAGGTCCGAGGGGCTGCAGGTTTTCTTTCAAACCAGAAACTCCACCAGGTGATTTCACTGATTACCTTGCCTTCAAGCAGTTGCAGGGACTAATCAGTGCGATCACCTGTTGGAGTTTTGGGTTGGAAAGAAAACCTGCAGCCTCTCCGCCCTCCATAGCACATGATTGCCCACCCCTGTTCTAATCCCATTGAAAAATACAGTAGCTACGCCAGGTGAGGCTCAACAACCCTAAGTGTTTACACAAGGTTCTGTGAGAGGCAGCTTCCCAAGACTGTGGACACTACGCACACCCAGAGGTGTAGTCACAACGCACACCTCAGTGTCCTCAGGCGTTCCTGGTTGGGCCTTTCTACCTCAGGGTGCACTGCTGAGTGACTGAGCCTTTAGGCGCTCCGTGTATTTCTTTGGCACAGCAGAGGGAAGCCCCGCAGTGCAGCAGGGCATCAAAAAATTACATCATACTCTTGTTGTTCCTCTCCACGGAAATCTTTAGTAAAAGGCGAAAGATTTATACGATCTGAAGAGAAACAAGAGTGAACTGTACTCCGCAACCCTCAGTGTCCACAGCCATTCCTGGTCGGGCCTTTCTACCTCACGGTGCACTGCTGCACTGCTGCACGTCAACATTAACCAACCACGCGCATCAAAGAGGAACTCCGGCAAGAGCTTTGGAGTGGTCCCATCTGCCCTAACAACGATTTAGTGTAAAGCTGTTTTCTAGGTGCCAATAGCAACTCAAAGTCTGTTCTGCTAGGTTTCTCCAAATACTGCCAGCTACTGTACCTATTACGCTCACTTTTTTGCTTGTTAGCTCCACAAAAGCCCCGTGCAAAGAAGTTTAAATCTCTGCCCCGCCTTGGTCAGAGATACAGTCCTACAATGTTTTCTCCCTCAACTGTTATGACTTGTGTAACTACAGACAAAGACTTGAAGGGCAAAGGTGCAAAGAAAAGAAAAACAGAAGAGATGGCTTTGATGGCTCTCTCATAGTCATGAGCCCCGATATTACTGTAGATCGGAGCGATTCCGACCTTATGACCGCGCTTTCTTCTGATCCCATTGAGAAAATAGCTGCGGCACCTGAGGCCCAAGCAGCCCTAAATGTTAACACAGGGTTCCGTGAGAGGCATCTTTGTGAGGCATTGGATAGTAAGCCTACCTAGAGGTGCAGCGGCCGCATCAGTGGCTGGGAGGTGACACATCTGTTGGGCTCTGAGGCGACCCAGCGGTGTGACTGAGCCTTTAGGCGCTCCGTGTATTTCTTTGGCACAGCAGAGGGAAGCCCCGCAGTGCAGCAGGGCATCAAAAAATTACATCATACTCTTGTTGTTCCTCTCCACGGAAATCTTTAGTAAAAGGCGAAAGATTTATACGATCTGAAGAGAAACAAGAGTGAACTGTACTCCGCAACCCTCAGTGTCCACAGCCATTCCTGGTCGGGCCTTTCTACCTCACGGTGCACTGCTGCACTGCTGCACGTCAACATTAACCAACCACGCGCATCAAAGAGGAACTCCGGCAAGAGCTTTGGAGTGGTCCCATCTGCCCTAACAACGATTTAGTGTAAAGCTGTTTTCTAGGTGCCAATAGCAACTCAAAGTCTGTTCTGCTAGGTTTCTCCAAATACTGCCAGCTACTGTACCTATTACGCTCACTTTTTTGCTTGTTAGCTCCACAAAAGCCCCGTGCAAAGAAGTTTAAATCTCTGCCCCGCCTTGGTCAGAGATACAGTCCTACAATGTTTTCTCCCTCAACTGTTATGACTTGTGTAACTACAGACAAAGACTTGAAGGGCAAAGGTGCAAAGAAAAGAAAAACAGAAGAGATGGCTTTGATGGCTCTCTCATAGTCATGAGCCCCGATATTACTGTAGATCGGAGCGATTCCGACCTTATGACCGCGCTTTCTTCTGATCCCATTGAGAAAATAGCTGCGGCACCTGAGGCCCAAGCAGCCCTAAATGTTAACACAGGGTTCCGTGTGAGGCATTGGATAGTAAGCCTACCTAGAGGTGCAGCGGCCGCATCAGTGGCTGGGAGGTGACACATCTGTTGGGCTCTGAGGCGACCCAGCGGTGTGACTGAGCCTTTAGGCGCTCCGTGTATTTCTTTGGCACAGCAGAGGGAAGCCCCGCAGTGCAGCAGGGCATCAAAAAATTACATCATACTCTTGTTGTTCCTCTCCACGGAAATCTTTAGTAAAAGGCGAAAGATTTATACGATCTGAAGAGAAACAAGAGTGAACTGTACTCCGCAACCCTCAGTGTCCACAGCCATTCCTGGTCGGGCCTTTCTACCTCACGGTGCACTGCTGCACTGCTGCACGTCAACATTAACCAACCACGCGCATCAAAGAGGAACTCCGGCAAGAGCTTTGGAGTGGTCCCATCTGCCCTAACAACGATTTAGTGTAAAGCTGTTTTCTAGGTGCCAATAGCAACTCAAAGTCTGTTCTGCTAGGTTTCTCCAAATACTGCCAGCTACTGTACCTATTACGCTCACTTTTTTGCTTGTTAGCTCCACAAAAGCCCCGTGCAAAGAAGTTTAAATCTCTGCCCCGCCTTGGTCAGAGATACAGTCCTACAATGTTTTCTCCCTCAACTGTTATGACTTGTGTAACTACAGACAAAGACTTGAAGGGCAAAGGTGCAAAGAAAAGAAAAACAGAAGAGATGGCTTTGATGGCTCTCTCATAGTCATGAGCCCCGATATTACTGTAGATCGGAGCGATTCCGACCTTATGACCGCGCTTTCTTCTGATCCCATTGAGAAAATAGCTGCGGCACCTGAGGCCCAAGCAGCCCTAAATGTTAACACAGGGTTCCGTGAGAGGCATCTTTGTGAGGCATTGGATAGTAAGCCTACCTAGAGGTGCAGCGGCCGCATCAGTGGCTGGGAGGTGACACATCTGTTGGGCTCTGAGGCGACCCAGCGGTGTGACTGAGCCTTTAGGCGCTCCGTGTATTTCTTTGGCACAGCAGAGGGAAGCCCCGCAGTGCAGCAGGGCATCAAAAAATTACATCATACTCTTGTTGTTCCTCTCCACGGAAATCTTTAGTAAAAGGCGAAAGATTTATACGATCTGAAGAGAAACAAGAGTGAACTGTACTCCGCAACCCTCAGTGTCCACAGCCATTCCTGGTCGGGCCTTTCTACCTCACGGTGCACTGCTGCACTGCTGCACGTCAACATTAACCAACCACGCGCATCAAAGAGGAACTCCGGCAAGAGCTTTGGAGTGGTCCCATCTGCCCTAACAACGATTTAGTGTAAAGCTGTTTTCTAGGTGCCAATAGCAACTCAAAGTCTGTTCTGCTAGGTTTCTCCAAATACTGCCAGCTACTGTACCTATTACGCTCACTTTTTTGCTTGTTAGCTCCACAAAAGCCCCGTGCAAAGAAGTTTAAATCTCTGCCCCGCCTTGGTCAGAGATACAGTCCTACAATGTTTTCTCCCTCAACTGTTATGACTTGTGTAACTACAGACAAAGACTTGAAGGGCAAAGGTGCAAAGAAAAGAAAAACAGAAGAGATGGCTTTGATGGCTCTCTCATAGTCATGAGCCCCGATATTACTGTAGATCGGAGCGATTCCGACCTTATGACCGCGCTTTCTTCTGATCCCATTGAGAAAATAGCTGCGGCACCTGAGGCCCAAGCAGCCCTAAATGTTAACACAGGGTTCCGTGAGAGGCATCTTTGTGAGGCATTGGATAGTAAGCCTACCTAGAGGTGCAGCGGCCGCATCAGTGGCTGGGAGGTGACACATCTGTTGGGCTCTGAGGCGACCCAGCGGTGTGACTGAGCCTTTAGGCGCTCCGTGTATTTCTTTGGCACAGCAGAGGGAAGCCCCGCAGTGCAGCAGGGCATCAAAAAATTACATCATACTCTTGTTGTTCCTCTCCACGGAAATCTTTAGTAAAAGGCGAAAGATTTATACGATCTGAAGAGAAACAAGAGTGAACTGTACTCCGCAACCCTCAGTGTCCACAGCCATTCCTGGTCGGGCCTTTCTACCTCACGGTGCACTGCTGCACTGCTGCACGTCAACATTAACCAACCACGCGCATCAAAGAGGAACTCCGGCAAGAGCTTTGGAGTGGTCCCATCTGCCCTAACAACGATTTAGTGTAAAGCTGTTTTCTAGGTGCCAATAGCAACTCAAAGTCTGTTCTGCTAGGTTTCTCCAAATACTGCCAGCTACTGTACCTATTACGCTCACTTTTTTGCTTGTTAGCTCCACAAAAGCCCCGTGCAAAGAAGTTTAAATCTCTGCCCCGCCTTGGTCAGAGATACAGTCCTACAATGTTTTCTCCCTCAACTGTTATGACTTGTGTAACTACAGACAAAGACTTGAAGGGCAAAGGTGCAAAGAAAAGAAAAACAGAAGAGATGGCTTTGATGGCTCTCTCATAGTCATGAGCCCCGATATTACTGTAGATCGGAGCGATTCCGACCTTATGACCGCGCTTTCTTCTGATCCCATTGAGAAAATAGCTGCGGCACCTGAGGCCCAAGCAGCCCTAAATGTTAACACAGGGTTCCGTGAGAGGCATCTTTGTGAGGCATTGGATAGTAAGCCTACCTAGAGGTGCAGCGGCCGCATCAGTGGCTGGGAGGTGACACATCTGTTGGGCTCTGAGGCCACCCAGCGGTGTGACTGAGCCTTTAGGCGCTCCGTGTATTTCTTTGGCACAGCAGAGGGAAGCCCCGCAGTGCAGCAGGGCATCAAAAAATTACATCATACTCTTGTTGTTCCTCTCCACGGAAATCTTTAGTAAAAGGCGAAAGATTTATACGATCTGAAGAGAAACAAGAGTGAACTGTACTCCGCAACCCTCAGTGTCCACAGCCATTCCTGGTCGGGCCTTTCTACCTCACGGTGCACTGCTGCACTGCTGCACGTCAACATTAACCAACCACGCGCATCAAAGAGGAACTCCGGCAAGAGCTTTGGAGTGGTCCCATCTGCCCTAACAACGATTTAGTGTAAAGCTGTTTTCTAGGTGCCAATAGCAACTCAAAGTCTGTTCTGCTAGGTTTCTCCAAATACTGCCAGCTACTGTACCTATTACGCTCACTTTTTTGCTTGTTAGCTCCACAAAAGCCCCGTGCAAAGAAGTTTAAATCTCTGCCCCGCCTTGGTCAGAGATACAGTCCTACAATGTTTTCTCCCTCAACTGTTATGACTTGTGTAACTACAGACAAAGACTTGAAGGGCAAAGGTGCAAAGAAAAGAAAAACAGAAGAGATGGCTTTGATGGCTCTCTCATAGTCATGAGCCCCGATATTACTGTAGATCGGAGCGATTCCGACCTTATGACCGCGCTTTCTTCTGATCCCATTGAGAAAATAGCTGCGGCACCTGAGGCCCAAGCAGCCCTAAATGTTAACACAGGGTTCCGGGAGGCATCTTTGTGAGGCATTGGATAGTAAGCCTACCTAGAGGTGCAGCGGCCGCATCAGTGGCTGGGAGGTGACACATCTGTTGGGCATGAGGCGACCCAGCGGTGTGACTGAGCCTTTAGGCGCTCCGTGTATTTCTTTGGCACAGCAGAGGGAAGCCCCGCAGTGCAGCAGGGCATCAAAAAATTACATCATACTCTTGTTGTTCCTCCCCACGGAAATCTTTAGTAAAAGGCGAAAGATTTATACGATCTGAAGAGAAACAAGAGTGAACTGTACTCCGCAACCCTCAGTGTCCACAGCCATTCCTGGTCGGGCCTTTCTACCTCACGGTGCACTGCTGCACTGCTGCACGTCAACATTAACCAACCACGCGCATCAAAGAGGAACTCCGGCAAGAGCTTTGGAGTGGTCCCATCTGCCCTAACAACGATTTAGTGTAAAGCTGTTTTCTAGGTGCCAATAGCAACTCAAAGTCTGTTCTGCTAGGTTTCTCCAAATACTGCCAGCTACTGTACCTATTACGCTCACTTTTTTGCTTGTTAGCTCCACAAAAGCCCCGTGCAAAGAAGTTTAAATCTCTGCCCCGCCTTGGTCAGAGATACAGTCCTACAATGTTTTCTCCCTCAACTGTTATGACTTGTGTAACTACAGACAAAGACTTGAAGGGCAAAGGTGCAAAGAAAAGAAAAACAGAAGAGATGGCTTTGATGGCTCTCTCATAGTCATGAGCCCCGATATTACTGTAGATCGGAGCGATTCCGACCTTATGACCGCGCTTTCTTCTGATCCCATTGAGAAAATAGCTGCGGCACCTGAGGCCCAAGCAGCCCTAAATGTTAACACAGGGTTCCGTGAGAGGCATCTTTGTGAGGCATTGGATAGTAAGCCTACCTAGAGGTGCAGCGGCCGCATCAGTGGCTGGGAGGTGACACATCTGTTGGGCTCTGAGGCGACCCAGCGGTGTGACTGAGCCTTTAGGCGCTCCGTGTATTTCTTTGGCACAGCAGAGGGAAGCCCCGCAGTGCAGCAGGGCATCAAAAAATTACATCATACTCTTGTTGTTCCTCTCCACGGAAATCTTTAGTAAAAGGCGAAAGATTTATACGATCTGAAGAGAAACAAGAGTGAACTGTACTCCGCAACCCTCAGTGTCCACAGCCATTCCTGGTCGGGCCTTTCTACCTCACGGTGCACTGCTGCACTGCTGCACGTCAACATTAACCAACCACGCGCATCAAAGAGGAACTCCGGCAAGAGCTTTGGAGTGGTCCCATCTGCCCTAACAACGATTTAGTGTAAAGCTGTTTTCTAGGTGCCAATAGCAACTCAAAGTCTGTTCTGCTAGGTTTCTCCAAATACTGCCAGCTACTGTACCTATTACGCTCACTTTTTTGCTTGTTAGCTCCACAAAAGCCCCGTGCAAAGAAGTTTAAATCTCTGCCCCGCCTTGGTCAGAGATACAGTCCTACAATGTTTTCTCCCTCAACTGTTATGACTTGTGTAACTACAGACAAAGACTTGAAGGGCAAAGGTGCAAAGAAAAGAAAAACAGAAGAGATGGCTTTGATGGCTCTCTCATAGTCATGAGCCCCGATATTACTGTAGATCGGAGCGATTCCGACCTTATGACCGCGCTTTCTTCTGATCCCATTGAGAAAATAGCTGCGGCACCTGAGGCCCAAGCAGCCCTAAATGTTAACACAGGGTTCCGTGAGAGGCATCTTTGTGAGGCATTGGATAGTAAGCCTACCTAGAGGTGCAGCGGCCGCATCAGTGGCTGGGAGGTGACACATCTGTTGGGCTCTGAGGCGACCCAGCGGTGTGACTGAGCCTTTAGGCGCTCCGTGTATTTCTTTGGCACAGCAGAGGGAAGCCCCGCAGTGCAGCAGGGCATCAAAAAATTACATCATACTCTTGTTGTTCCTCTCCACGGAAATCTTTAGTAAAAGGCGAAAGATTTATACGATCTGAAGAGAAACAAGAGTGAACTGTACTCCGCAACCCTCAGTGTCCACAGCCATTCCTGGTCGGGCCTTTCTACCTCACGGTGCACTGCTGCACTGCTGCACGTCAACATTAACCAACCACGCGCATCAAAGAGGAACTCCGGCAAGAGCTTTGGAGTGGTCCCATCTGCCCTAACAACGATTTAGTGTAAAGCTGTTTTCTAGGTGCCAATAGCAACTCAAAGTCTGTTCTGCTAGGTTTCTCCAAATACTGCCAGCTACTGTACCTATTACGCTCACTTTTTTGCTTGTTAGCTCCACAAAAGCCCCGTGCAAAGAAGTTTAAATCTCTGCCCCGCCTTGGTCAGAGATACAGTCCTACAATGTTTTCTCCCTCAACTGTTATGACTTGTGTAACTACAGACAAAGACTTGAAGGGCAAAGGTGCAAAGAAAAGAAAAACAGAAGAGATGGCTTTGATGGCTCTCTCATAGTCATGAGCCCCGATATTACTGTAGATCGGAGCGATTCCGACCTTATGACCGCGCTTTCTTCTGATCCCATTGAGAAAATAGCTGCGGCACCTGAGGCCCAAGCAGCCCTAAATGTTAACACAGGGTTCCGTGAGAGGCATCTTTGTGAGGCATTGGATAGTAAGCCTACCTAGAGGTGCAGCGGCCGCATCAGTGGCTGGGAGGTGACACATCTGTTGGGCTCTGAGGCGACCCAGCGGTGTGACTGAGCCTTTAGGTGCTCCGTGTATTTCTTTGGCACAGCAGAGGGAAGCGCCGCAGTGCAGCAGGGCATCAAAAAATTACATCATACTCTTGTTGTTCCTCTCCACGGAAATCTTTAGTAAAAGGCGAAAGATTTATACGATCTGAAGAGAAACAAGAGTGAACTGTACTCCGCAACCCTCAGTGTCCACAGCCATTCCTGGTCGGGCCTTTCTACCTCACGGTGCACTGCTGCACTGCTGCACGTCAACATTAACCAACCACGCGCATCAAAGAGGAACTCCGGCAAGAGCTTTGGAGTGGTCCCATCTGCCCTAACAACGATTTAGTGTAAAGCTGTTTTCTAGGTGCCAATAGCAACTCAAAGTCTGTTCTGCTAGGTTTCTCCAAATACTGCCAGCTACTGTACCTATTACGCTCACTTTTTTGCTTGTTAGCTCCACAAAAGCCCCGTGCAAAGAAGTTTAAATCTCTGCCCCGCCTTGGTCAGAGATACAGTCCTACAATGTTTTCTCCCTCAACTGTTATGACTTGTGTAACTACAGACAAAGACTTGAAGGGCAAAGGTGCAAAGAAAAGAAAAACAGAAGAGATGGCTTTGATGGCTCTCTCATAGTCATGAGCCCCGATATTACTGTAGATCGGAGCGATTCCGACCTTATGACCGCGCTTTCTTCTGATCCCATTGAGAAAATAGCTGCGGCACCTGAGGCCCAAGCAGCCCTTAATGTTAACACAGGGTTCCGTGAGAGGCATCTTTGTGAGGCATTGGATAGTAAGCCTACCTAGAGGTGCAGCGGCCGCATCAGTGGCTGGGAGGTGACACATCTGTTGGGCTCTGAGGCGACCCAGCGGTGTGACTGAGCCTTTAGGCGCTCCGTGTATTTCTTTGGCACAGCAGAGGGAAGCCCCGCAGTGCAGCAGGGCATCAAAAAATTACATCATACTCTTGTTGTTCCTCTCCACGGAAATCTTTAGTAAAAGGCGAAAGATTTATACGATCTGAAGAGAAACAAGAGTGAACTGTACTCCGCAACCCTCAGTGTCCACAGCCATTCCTGGTCGGGCCTTTCTACCTCACGGTGCACTGCTGCACTGCTGCACGTCAACATTAACCAACCACGCGCATCAAAGAGGAACTCCGGCAAGAGCTTTGGAGTGGTCCCATCTGCCCTAACAACGATTTAGTGTAAAGCTGTTTTCTAGGTGCCAATAGCAACTCAAAGTCTGTTCTGCTAGGTTTCTCCAAATACTGCCAGCTACTGTACCTATTACGCTCACTTTTTTGCTTGTTAGCTCCACAAAAGCCCCGTGCAAAGAAGTTTAAATCTCTGCCCCGCCTTGGTCAGAGATACAGTCCTACAATGTTTTCTCCCTCAACTGTTATGACTTGTGTAACTACAGACAAAGACTTGAAGGGCAAAGGTGCAAAGAAAAGAAAAACAGAAGAGATGGCTTTGATGGCTCTCTCATAGTCATGAGCCCCGATATTACTGTAGATCGGAGCGATTCCGACCTTATGACCGCGCTTTCTTCTGATCCCATTGAGAAAATAGCTGCGGCACCTGAGGCCCAAGCAGCCCTAAATGTTAACACAGGGTTCCGTGAGAGGCATTGTGAGGCATTGGATAGTAAGCCTACCTAGAGGTGCAGCGGCCGCATCAGTGGCTGGGAGGTGACACATCTGTTGGGCTCTGAGGCGACCCAGCGGTGTGACTGAGCCTTTAGGCGCTCCGTGTATTTCTTTGGCACAGCAGAGGGAAGCCCCGCAGTGCAGCAGGGCATCAAAAAATTACATCATACTCTTGTTGTTCCTCTCCACGGAAATCTTTAGTAAAAGGCGAAAGATTTATACGATCTGAAGAGAAACAAGAGTGAACTGTACTCCGCAACCCTCAGTGTCCACAGCCATTCCTGGTCGGGCCTTTCTACCTCACGGTGCACTGCTGCACTGCTGCACGTCAACATTAACCAACCACGCGCATCAAAGAGGAACTCCGGCAAGAGCTTTGGAGTGGTCCCATCTGCCCTAACAACGATTTAGTGTAAAGCTGTTTTCTAGGTGCCAATAGCAACTCAAAGTCTGTTCTGCTAGGTTTCTCCAAATACTGCCAGCTACTGTACCTATTACGCTCACTTTTTTGCTCGTTAGCTCCACAAAAGCCCCGTGCAAAGAAGTTTAAATCTCTGCCCCGCCTTGGTCAGAGATACAGTCCTACAATGTTTTCTCCCTCAACTGTTATGACTTGTGTAACTACAGACAAAGACTTGAAGGGCAAAGGTGCAAAGAAAAGAAAAACAGAAGAGATGGCTTTGATGGCTCTCTCATAGTCATGAGCCCCGATATTACTGTAGATCGGAGCGATTCCGACCTTATGACCGCGCTTTCTTCTGATCCCATTGAGAAAATAGCTGCGGCACCTGAGGCCCAAGCAGCCCTAAATGTTAACACAGGGTTCCGTGAGAGGCATCTTTGTGAGGCATTGGATAGTAAGCCTACCTAGAGGTGCAGCGGCCGCATCAGTGGCTGGGAGGTGACACATCTGTTGGGCTCTGAGGCGACCCAGCGGTGTGACTGAGCCTTTAGGCGCTCCGTGTATTTCTTTGGCACAGCAGAGGGAAGCCCCGCAGTGCAGCAGGGCATCAAAAAATTACATCATACTCTTGTTGTTCCTCTCCACGGAAATCTTTAGTAAAAGGCGAAAGATTTATACGATCTGAAGAGAAACAAGAGTGAACTGTACTCCGCAACCCTCAGTGTCCACAGCCATTCCTGGTCGGGCCTTTCTACCTCACGGTGCACTGCTGCACTGCTGCACGTCAACATTAACCAACCACGCGCATCAAAGAGGAACTCCGGCAAGAGCTTTGGAGTGGTCCCATCTGCCCTAACAACGATTTAGTGTAAAGCTGTTTTCTAGGTGCCAATAGCAACTCAAAGTCTGTTCTGCTAGGTTTCTCCAAATACTGCCAGCTACTGTACCTATTACGTTCACTTTTTTGCTCATTAGCTCCACAAAAGCCCCGTGCAAAGAAGTTTAAATCTCTGCCCCGCCTTGGTCAGAGATACAGTCCTACAATGTTTTCTCCCTCAACTGTTATGACTTGTGTAACTACAGACAAAGACTTGAAGGGCAAAGGTGCAAAGAAAAGAAAAACAGAAGAGATGGCTTTGATGGCTCTCTCATAGTCATGAGCCCCGATATTACTGTAGATCGGAGCGATTCCGACCTTATGACCGCGCTTTCTTCTGATCCCATTGAGAAAATAGCTGCGGCACCTGAGGCCCAAGCAGCCCTAAATGTTAACACAGGGTTCCGTGAGAGGCATCTTTGTGAGGCATTGGATAGTAAGCCTACCTAGAGGTGCAGCGGCCGCATCAGTGGCTGGGAGGTGACACATCTGTTGGGCTCTGAGGCGACCCAGCGGTGTGACTGAGCCTTTAGGCGCTCCGTGTATTTCTTTGGCACAGCAGAGGGAAGCCCCGCAGTGCAGCAGGGCATCAAAAAATTACATCATACTCTTGTTGTTCCTCTCCACGGAAATCTTTAGTAAAAGGCGAAAGATTTATACGATCTGAAGAGAAACAAGAGTGAACTGTACTCCGCAACCCTCAGTGTCCACAGCCATTCCTGGTCGGGCCTTTCTACCTCACGGTGCACTGCTGCACTGCTGCATGTCAACATTAACCAACCACGCGCATCAAAGAGGAACTCCGGCAAGAGCTTTGGAGTGGTCCCATCTGCCCTAACAACGATTTAGTGTAAAGCTGTTTTCTAGGTGCCAATAGCAACTCAAAGTCTGTTCTGCTAGGTTTCTCCAAATACTGCCAGCTACTGTACCTATTACGCTCACTTTTTTGCTCGTTAGCTCCACAAAAGCCCCGTGCAAAGAAGTTTAAATCTCTGCCCCGCCTTGGTCAGAGATACAGTCCTACAATGTTTTCTCCCTCAACTGTTATGACTTGTGTAACTACAGACAAAGACTTGAAGGGCAAAGGTGCAAAGAAAAGAAAAACAGAAGAGATGGCTTTGATGGCTCTCTCATAGTCATGAGCCCCGATATTACTGTAGATCGGAGCGATTCCGACCTTATGACCGCGCTTTCTTCTGATCCCATTGAGAAAATAGCTGCGGCACCTGAGGCCCAAGCAGCCCTAAATGTTAACACAGGGTTCCGTGAGAGGCATCTTTGTGAGGCATTGGATAGTAAGCCTACCTAGAGGTGCAGCGGCCGCATCAGTGGCTGGGAGGTGACACATCTGTTGGGCTCTGAGGCGACCCAGCGGTGTGACTGAGCCTTTAGGCGCTCCGTGTATTTCTTTGGCACAGCAGAGGGAAGCCCCGCAGTGCAGCAGGGCATCAAAAAATTACATCATACTCTTGTTGTTCCTCTCCACGGAAATCTTTAGTAAAAGGCGAAAGATTTATACGATCTGAAGAGAAACAAGAGTGAACTGTACTCCGCAACCCTCAGTGTCCACAGCCATTCCTGGTCGGGCCTTTCTACCTCACGGTGCACTGCTGCACTGCTGCACGTCAACATTAACCAACCACGCGCATCAAAGAGGAACTCCGGCAAGAGCTTTGGAGTGGTCCCATCTGCCCTAACAACGATTTAGTGTAAAGCTGTTTTCTAGGTGCCAATAGCAACTCAAAGTCTGTTCTGCTAGGTTTCTCCAAATACTGCCAGCTACTGTACCTATTACGCTCACTTTTTTGCTCGTTAGCTCCACAAAAGCCCCGTGCAAAGAAGTTTAAATCTCTGCCCCGCCTTGGTCAGAGATACAGTCCTACAATGTTTTCTCCCTCAACTGTTATGACTTGTGTAACTACAGACAAAGACTTGAAGGGCAAAGGTGCAAAGAAAAGAAAAACAGAAGAGATGGCTTTGATGGCTCTCTCATAGTCATGAGCCCCGATATTACTGTAGATCGGAGCGATTCCGACCTTATGACCGCGCTTTCTTCTGATCCCATTGAGAAAATAGCTGCGGCACCTGAGGCCCAAGCAGCCCTAAATGTTAACACAGGGTTCCGTGAGAGGCATCTTTGTGAGGCATTGGATAGTAAGCCTACCTAGAGGTGCAGCGGCCGCATCAGTGGCTGGGAGGTGACACATCTGTTGGGCTCTGAGGCGACCCAGCGGTGTGACTGAGCCTTTAGGCGCTCCGTGTATTTCTTTGGCACAGCAGAGGGAAGCCCCGCAGTGCAGCAGGGCATCAAAAAATTACATCATACTCTTGTTGTTCCTCTCCACGGAAATCTTTAGTAAAAGGCGAAAGATTTATACGATCTGAAGAGAAACAAGAGTGAACTGTACTCCGCAACCCTCAGTGTCCACAGCCATTCCTGGTCGGGCCTTTCTACCTCACGGTGCACTGCTGCACTGCTGCACGTCAACATTAACCAACCACGCGCATCAAAGAGGAACTCCGGCAAGAGCTTTGGAGTGGTCCCATCTGCCCTAACAACGATTTAGTGTAAAGCTGTTTTCTAGGTGCCAATAGCAACTCAAAGTCTGTTCTGCTAGGTTTCTCCAAATACTGCCAGCTACTGTACCTATTACGCTCACTTTTTTGCTCGTTAGCTCCACAAAAGCCCCGTGCAAAGAAGTTTAAATCTCTGCCCCGCCTTGGTCAGAGATACAGTCCTACAATGTTTTCTCCCTCAACTGTTATGACTTGTGTAACTACAGACAAAGACTTGAAGGGCAAAGGTGCAAAGAAAAGAAAAACAGAAGAGATGGCTTTGATGGCTCTCTCATAGTCATGAGCCCCGATATTACTGTAGATCGGAGCGATTCCGACCTTATGACCGCGCTTTCTTCTGATCCCATTGAGAAAATAGCTGCGGCACCTGAGGCCCAAGCAGCCCTAAATGTTAACACAGGGTTCCGTGAGAGGCATCTTTGTGAGGCATTGGATAGTAAGCCTACCTAGAGGTGCAGCGGCCGCATCAGTGGCTGGGAGGTGACACATCTGTTGGGCTCTGAGGCGACCCAGCGGTGTGACTGAGCCTTTAGGCGCTCCGTGTATTTCTTTGGCACAGCAGAGGGAAGCCCCGCAGTGCAGCAGGGCATCAAAAAATTACATCATACTCTTGTTGTTCCTCTCCACGGAAATCTTTAGTAAAAGGCGAAAGATTTATACGATCTGAAGAGAAACAAGAGTGAACTGTACTCCGCAACCCTCAGTGTCCACAGCCATTCCTGGTCGGGCCTTTCTACCTCACGGTGCACTGCTGCACTGCTGCACGTCAACATTAACCAACCACGCGCATCAAAGAGGAACTCCGGCAAGAGCTTTGGAGTGGTCCCATCTGCCCTAACAACGATTTAGTGTAAAGCTGTTTTCTAGGTGCCAATAGCAACTCAAAGTCTGTTCTGCTAGGTTTCTCCAAATACTGCCAGCTACTGTACCTATTACGCTCACTTTTTTGCTCGTTAGCTCCACAAAAGCCCCGTGCAAAGAAGTTTAAATCTCTGCCCCGCCTTGGTCAGAGATACAGTCCTACAATGTTTTCTCCCTCAACTGTTATGACTTGTGTAACTACAGACAAAGACTTGAAGGGCAAAGGTGCAAAGAAAAGAAAAACAGAAGAGATGGCTTTGATGGCTCTCTCATAGTCATGAGCCCCGATATTACTGTAGATCGGAGCGATTCCGACCTTATGACCGCGCTTTCTTCTGATCCCATTGAGAAAATAGCTGCGGCACCTGAGGCCCAAGCAGCCCTAAATGTTAACACAGGGTTCCGTGAGAGGCATCTTTGTGAGGCATTGGATAGTAAGCCTACCTAGAGGTGCAGCGGCCGCATCAGTGGCTGGGAGGTGACACATCTGTTGGGCTCTGAGGCGACCCAGCGGTGTGACTGAGCCTTTAGGCGCTCCGTGTATTTCTTTGGCACAGCAGAGGGAAGCCCCGCAGTGCAGCAGGGCATCAAAAAATTACATCATACTCTTGTTGTTCCTCTCCACGGAAATCTTTAGTAAAAGGCGAAAGATTTATACGATCTGAAGAGAAACAAGAGTGAACTGTACTCCGCAACCCTCAGTGTCCACAGCCATTCCTGGTCGGGCCTTTCTACCTCACGGTGCACTGCTGCACTGCTGCACGTCAACATTAACCAACCACGCGCATCAAAGAGGAACTCCGGCAAGAGCTTTGGAGTGGTCCCATCTGCCCTAACAACGATTTAGTGTAAAGCTGTTTTCTAGGTGCCAATAGCAACTCAAAGTCTGTTCTGCTAGGTTTCTCCAAATACTGCCAGCTACTGTACCTATTACGCTCACTTTTTTGCTCGTTAGCTCCACAAAAGCCCCGTGCAAAGAAGTTTAAATCTCTGCCCCGCCTTGGTCAGAGATACAGTCCTACAATGTTTTCTCCCTCAACTGTTATGACTTGTGTAACTACAGACAAAGACTTGAAGGGCAAAGGTGCAAAGAAAAGAAAAACAGAAGAGATGGCTTTGATGGCTCTCTCATAGTCATGAGCCCCGATATTACTGTAGATCGGAGCGATTCCGACCTTATGACCGCGCTTTCTTCTGATCCCATTGAGAAAATAGCTGCGGCACCTGAGGCCCAAGCAGCCCTAAATGTTAACACAGGGTTCCGTGAGAGGCATCTTTGTGAGGCATTGGATAGTAAGCCTACCTAGAGGTGCAGCGGCCGCATCAGTGGCTGGGAGGTGACACATCTGTTGGGCTCTGAGGCGACCCAGCGGTGTGACTGAGCCTTTAGGCGCTCCGTGTATTTCTTTGGCACAGCAGAGGGAAGCCCCGCAGTGCAGCAGGGCATCAAAAAATTACATCATACTCTTGTTGTTCCTCTCCACGGAAATCTTTAGTAAAAGGCGAAAGATTTATACGATCTGAAGAGAAACAAGAGTGAACTGTACTCCGCAACCCTCAGTGTCCACAGCCATTCCTGGTCGGGCCTTTCTACCTCACGGTGCACTGCTGCACTGCTGCACGTCAACATTAACCAACCACGCGCATCAAAGAGGAACTCCGGCAAGAGCTTTGGAGTGGTCCCATCTGCCCTAACAACGATTTAGTGTAAAGCTGTTTTCTAGGTGCCAATAGCAACTCAAAGTCTGTTCTGCTAGGTTTCTCCAAATACTGCCAGCTACTGTACCTATTACGCTCACTTTTTTGCTCGTTAGCTCCACAAAAGCCCCGTGCAAAGAAGTTTAAATCTCTGCCCCGCCTTGGTCAGAGATACAGTCCTACAATGTTTTCTCCCTCAACTGTTATGACTTGTGTAACTACAGACAAAGACTTGAAGGGCAAAGGTGCAAAGAAAAGAAAAACAGAAGAGATGGCTTTGATGGCTCTCTCATAGTCATGAGCCCCGATATTACTGTAGATCGGAGCGATTCCGACCTTATGACCGCGCTTTCTTCTGATCCCATTGAGAAAATAGCTGCGGCACCTGAGGCCCAAGCAGCCCTAAATGTTAACACAGGGTTCCGTGAGAGGCATCTTTGTGAGGCATTGGATAGTAAGCCTACCTAGAGGTGCAGCGGCCGCATCAGTGGCTGGGAGGTGACACATCTGTTGGGCTCTGAGGCGACCCAGCGGTGTGACTGAGCCTTTAGGCGCTCCGTGTATTTCTTTGGCACAGCAGAGGGAAGCCCCGCAGTGCAGCAGGGCATCAAAAAATTACATCATACTCTTGTTGTTCCTCTCCACGGAAATCTTTAGTAAAAGGCGAAAGATTTATACGATCTGAAGAGAAACAAGAGTGAACTGTACTCCGCAACCCTCAGTGTCCACAGCCATTCCTGGTCGGGCCTTTCTACCTCACGGTGCACTGCTGCACTGCTGCACGTCAACATTAACCAACCACGCGCATCAAAGAGGAACTCCGGCAAGAGCTTTGGAGTGGTCCCATCTGCCCTAACAACGATTTAGTGTAAAGCTGTTTTCTAGGTGCCAATAGCAACTCAAAGTCTGTTCTGCTAGGTTTCTCCAAATACTGCCAGCTACTGTACCTATTACGCTCACTTTTTTGCTCGTTAGCTCCACAAAAGCCCCGTGCAAAGAAGTTTAAATCTCTGCCCCGCCTTGGTCAGAGATACAGTCCTACAATGTTTTCTCCCTCAACTGTTATGACTTGTGTAACTACAGACAAAGACTTGAAGGGCAAAGGTGCAAAGAAAAGAAAAACAGAAGAGATGGCTTTGATGGCTCTCTCATAGTCATGAGCCCCGATATTACTGTAGATCGGAGCGATTCCGACCTTATGACCGCGCTTTCTTCTGATCCCATTGAGAAAATAGCTGCGGCACCTGAGGCCCAAGCAGCCCTAAATGTTAACACAGGGTTCCGTGAGAGGCATCTTTGTGAGGCATTGGATAGTAAGCCTACCTAGAGGTGCAGCGGCCGCATCAGTGGCTGGGAGGTGACACATCTGTTGGGCTCTGAGGCGACCCAGCGGTGTGACTGAGCCTTTAGGCGCTCCGTGTATTTCTTTGGCACAGCAGAGGGAAGCCCCGCAGTGCAGCAGGGCATCAAAAAATTACATCATACTCTTGTTGTTCCTCTCCACGGAAATCTTTAGTAAAAGGCGAAAGATTTATACGATCTGAAGAGAAACAAGAGTGAACTGTACTCCGCAACCCTCAGTGTCCACAGCCATTCCTGGTCGGGCCTTTCTACCTCACGGTGCACTGCTGCACTGCTGCACGTCAACATTAACCAACCACGCGCATCAAAGAGGAACTCCGGCAAGAGCTTTGGAGTGGTCCCATCTGCCCTAACAACGATTTAGTGTAAAGCTGTTTTCTAGGTGCCAATAGCAACTCAAAGTCTGTTCTGCTAGGTTTCTCCAAATACTGCCAGCTACTGTACCTATTACGCTCACTTTTTTGCTCGTTAGCTCCACAAAAGCCCCGTGCAAAGAAGTTTAAATCTCTGCCCCGCCTTGGTCAGAGATACAGTCCTACAATGTTTTCTCCCTCAACTGTTATGACTTGTGTAACTACAGACAAAGACTTGAAGGGCAAAGGTGCAAAGAAAAGAAAAACAGAAGAGATGGCTTTGATGGCTCTCTCATAGTCATGAGCCCCGATATTACTGTAGATCGGAGCGATTCCGACCTTATGACCGCGCTTTCTTCTGATCCCATTGAGAAAATAGCTGCGGCACCTGAGGCCCAAGCAGCCCTAAATGTTAACACAGGGTTCCGTGAGAGGCATCTTTGTGAGGCATTGGATAGTAAGCCTACCTAGAGGTGCAGCGGCCGCATCAGTGGCTGGGAGGTGACACATCTGTTGGGCTCTGAGGCGACCCAGCGGTGTGACTGAGCCTTTAGGCGCTCCGTGTATTTCTTTGGCACAGCAGAGGGAAGCCCCGCAGTGCAGCAGGGCATCAAAAAATTACATCATACTCTTGTTGTTCCTCTCCACGGAAATCTTTAGTAAAAGGCGAAAGATTTATACGATCTGAAGAGAAACAAGAGTGAACTGTACTCCGCAACCCTCAGTGTCCACAGCCATTCCTGGTCGGGCCTTTCTACCTCACGGTGCACTGCTGCACTGCTGCACGTCAACATTAACCAACCACGCGCATCAAAGAGGAACTCCGGCAAGAGCTTTGGAGTGGTCCCATCTGCCCTAACAACGATTTAGTGTAAAGCTGTTTTCTAGGTGCCAATAGCAACTCAAAGTCTGTTCTGCTAGGTTTCTCCAAATACTGCCAGCTACTGTACCTATTACGCTCACTTTTTGCTCGTTAGCTCCACAAAAGCCCCGTGCAAAGAAGTTTAAATCTCTGCCCCGCCTTGGTCAGAGATACAGTCCTACAATGTTTTCTCCCTCAACTGTTATGACTTGTGTAACTACAGACAAAGACTTGAAGGGCAAAGGTGCAAAGAAAAGAAAAACAGAAGAGATGGCTTTGATGGCTCTCTCATAGTCATGAGCCCCGATATTACTGTAGATCGGAGCGATTCCGACCTTATGACCGCGCTTTCTTCTGATCCCATTGAGAAAATAGCTGCGGCACCTGAGGCCCAAGCAGCCCTAAATGTTAACACAGGGTTCCGTGAGAGGCATCTTTGTGAGGCATTGGATAGTAAGCCTACCTAGAGGTGCAGCGGCCGCATCAGTGGCTGGGAGGTGACACATCTGTTGGGCTCTGAGGCGACCCAGCGGTGTGACTGAGCCTTTAGGCGCTCCGTGTATTTCTTTGGCACAGCAGAGGGAAGCCCCGCAGTGCAGCAGGGCATCAAAAAATTACATCATACTCTTGTTGTTCCTCTCCACGGAAATCTTTAGTAAAAGGCGAAAGATTTATACGATCTGAAGAGAAACAAGAGTGAACTGTACTCCGCAACCCTCAG